GGGGGGGAGGTTGTGGGTTAGTTTCTTCGTAAGTACCATTGAGTGTTTCGGCACTATAAGTACCGTTGAGTGTTCACAGGAATGGCGAAACGAGTTGCTTCGAGCATTGGCTTTAAAAAACCACATTCTTGCGCCATGTGCAACCATCAATGATTGTCAAAGAGCACTACATTCTCCGACCGGTATACCCTGAAATCAACGTCGTTGACTCGTAACAGGCGATTAAAAAGTTAATAAACGCGCTCCCGTCGCTATACAGAAGTAGTAAAATAGGCAAACAACACCACGCAACTTAAAAACATCAGCCGCTTTCACTTTAAGAATTTGAGGTTATAGGCCACGGTTTAATTTTCAGGTGAGATGCGTGCGGATTGAGGGAGATACAACAAGCTACCTGCTTTTGCAAAGTTTTGTAAAATATAAGGTGTTTTTTTAAAGTTTTTCAGTTATACATTTGCATGTATGACATTCCCTGATAATTTGATGCATCCGCGAATTCTACACAATAGATACATTTGGATAAGATTTGTTTTCCGAATCTTAACGAAACGATTGTATTTCTCTGTTTTCATGAGAACTAATCAGCTGTCTAATAATACAAAAGAAAACGCTATAGATACGATACATAAGCCCTGCCCGTGGTCAAACGAGGATATGAGAGTTGATGAGAGTTGCCCGAGTTGGCAAGCGAGAGTTTACATGAGAGTTTTCTCAACTACTCTCGTGCCCCGGTCACACGAGCCAAGGACAAACTCTCATTAAAATTTGAACCATTGATGCGAGTTGATGAGAGATGATAGATAGATAGATAGTTTAATAGATTTTACATGGCAGCCGAATTGGCTGAATTGCGTAAAATTAACAAAACTTACATATTACAAGCAAATTAAAAACAACACATACACAATTACATATTACTGAATGTAATAGTATTACATATTATATGACATCAGCGCAAATTCAGATATGTCCCCACCACCACCACCGATAAAATAGAGATCAACCAAAGTTGTAAGCACAGGGTACATGACACTCGATGAGAGCACAGTTAATAGAATACATGGTTTGGAGACTCGATGAAAGTACAATATAACTCATTAACTATGTTGGTTTCGGTTTATGCAAGAATTTGGGCCTATCTCGTCACGTGTGTATTGTATTTTTTCCCGCACAGCCAATAGCAATGTTTAAATTGAGCATTTGTTTAAGGTACGGATGGATAACTCAACCACAAACTTGTTATTGGTTATTTGAGCGAAAATACAATACACACGTGACGAGATAGGCCCAAATTCTTGCATAAAGCTGGACAATATTCAATAACATAGTTAATGAGTTATATTGTACTTTCATCGAGTCTCCAAACCATCTATTAAAATAACTGTGATGAGAGTTAGCGGTAAAAAACTCGAGCAAGAGTTGCAACTCTCATCAACTTTTATCGACTTTTGTATTCTCTTATATTTAAAAATCCTATCATATCTATAGTATGTATAGCCTTGTGGGGCAGAATTGTTAATTGTTTGTATACGTAATTGTAAACCAGTTTTTTTGTTTTTTTTTTTCATGTAACTCATTATCACTTGCCGGTTGAAGACTGCAGACTGCCAAATCGAAAGCTCGTTTAATAAACTCTTTAAAAACCGGAGATTGACGGAGCATTTGTTCTGTTCGCCGTACGCAATTCGCATTTTATGTAAATTTTCTTATTAAGCTGTCTTGCTGTTATGTTTGTCCTGCTTACAACTATAATGTGCTGCATCTGCCTATAGATAGCACAATTGATGTCAGACCAAACCAAGTTTTGGTCAGACTTTGATCCGACACGATCGGCCACTAAACTAAGCTCCGATCAATCGCCATGAGAGTTGATGAGAGTTGGCAGTCACACATTGTTACAGGGGACATTTAAACAGAATACAGTGATAGTATTCCAAGGTCGCGTGACTCATGGCACTCTCATATACATCCTCGTGTGTGATCCGGTCTTAAAAATAAAAAAAAATCGGTCAAAAAACATAAAAAATATGAAAGAATCGGCAACCTTTTATTTATAGAACTATAAATTAGTTCGCTTGCATGCGAAATTTGAAAATAATTTCACTATCTAGACAACATATTATTATAGCAATTTATAACTGGAATTTCAATTGAGAATTCATACTTTGTTGATTGCGTGATTCGTTGATATATGTAATTCTCTACCAGCTGATATTATAAAATCATGCACAGATCATAGTCATAGAGCCTTAATTCTCTAGACAAACTCTTCAACATTTTATTTTTACACAACGCTGTGTTAGGTCTAGGTTTACAAATAGAAAAGTGAAAAGACGGTAATTGCTGATTAATAATTTTGTACAAGTACATCGATTTATGAAATAGCCTGGCTTCGAGTCGCGAGTTTTCCCAGCTCAATTCGTCCTGAAGTCGCTCATAACTATATTGACATATAGATCATAGTGCGGCCTTTGATTGCCCCGTGAACGAAATTCAGTTCAGGCTGCGAGCAGGCTAGACGCGAGCGTCTTTATTGACTATTGTATATACACTTTCTATAATAATTGTACTTGGTGCGACTTTTACACCTACTCAGATAAAATCTGCATACTCTAGCAATGGTATATAATAACAGAAGTTACAAGTAATATGTACAACATGAACGACCGCGTTGTCGTTGACGTTGTAACACTATCAGAGTTTTATGTCTGATCAGAACGCGGACGCTGTATATAGCTTGTGGAACGATTTCAACGGATTTCAAAACTATGAAGGAGCATTAAAGTTACATCAATATGTTGTACAAACTAGATTGAAGCTGCACGGGGAGTAAAGTTTATGCAATTCACGAGAATTTTGTACATGTGATACAACATGTGCCTCATGAACTATTTATGATTTTACAAGATTTTTATGCAATGCATCCAGAATTTAGTAACTTGAAACGCAGAACGCTGGGCGAGTATTTATGTTGGGTATAATATCATGCAGCCATGATATTGGAAGATATTGGTTCGGTTATGACTTGTTTTGCGCGTGATCTATTTGACGATTGCACGTGATTGATCAACCGCATATATATATATATATATATATATATATATAGCCGTAGCTAATACATTTATAAAATATGAGCATCAGTTACACAGACAAGAGGCTGATAAACGGATTTTTTCTTGTAGTTAGGTCCTGCAAAGTACTAGTATGGTAGGACACATATTTCATAAATATTTACTTTTCCTATCTATATATAGTTTAATAGCGATCGTATCTTGTTTAGCCTGTTTAAAACAATGGGAAACATACCTTAAAACAAGACTTTTTCTTGTAGTTTGATATGACTGTGTAGAACAAGGTCCAGCTCAGCTCGTTTCTGAAACGTTCTGAAAAGCACTGCCCTGAAATGACTTGTTTATGAGAAAAGCCAAGGATCGGTAATTTAGAATAATATCCGGTGTCAGAGTATGACGCACGCAAGTGGGAACCCGTCTGTTTACTGTACTTGGTAATTGCAGTTACTGGAATAGAATTCTCTGTTGGATACCATGTTATGCCATCTAAAAGTAACCTGGAAATGAATAGAACGATTTTAAATCTCTGCCCATATTTGGAGACGCTCGTTTTTGACTCAGGGATGATCTGCGAGTCTTTGTGGTTTCTTGAGTGTGGGGTGAGTGTGGGGCAGTTAAACAATGGGAAATGACCAGCCTGCTTTGCGCGCACTGTTTGCCTGCGAATCGGGCCTTTCAGAACCGACTGCAGCACGCGTTCGTTCTTTTGATTTGGCATGATGAAGCACGACAAATGAGTGAAATGGCAAAATTCGCACGGTGCCCGGTTTGCAAAAACAACTGCAAACTGCTCTAATTCTTTCTGTCACTTTCATTTGATCTTATCCGTGAGTCGGCCTCAACGGCCTTTGATTTTTAATAGGACAAAGAGCACAGCTTAATAAGGTGCGATGTTCTTCTTCTGACGGATGATTTTATAGATGTTCAAACCTTGTAGGCAGGGACGTAGCGACCGGGGGATGTGGGGGTGTACCCCCCCCGTTTACGAATTTGCTTTAGAAAACGCTTTTATCTACTAAAAGCCTGTATAGTTTGTCCCCGAGAAGGACATCTCTTATTGGCACAGTGTTCCTACCATGGGCCTTTAGGTGACTTCTAGAAGGTTACAGACAAAAACATTGTATTTTCCCACGTGAAACTGAAATGTTTGCAACCATTCAACCAATCAGCGTGAAACTAGTTGACGTCATTTGCCGATTAAACTCAAGCCAGTATAAACAAAGAACATATCACGCGGATGTTGTAAGCTTAATACTGGGCTGCTTGAATTAACTAGCCAATGAGAACCCACAGTTTCGGTACGTGACCTTGGCCAAAACGATGTGCGGTGAAAATCGAAGCTTATGTCACAAGCTTTAAGTACTGCATTCCTTTTTTTTGTGTTTTGCCTCCTTTATTCATGCTTGTACTTAGCAAGGCTTTTCTGTACTGTACACATATCGTTATTGATGAAAAGATTATCAAAAAGAAAAACCAGTAGATTTATATTTTGCACTCAAAGACATTGAAGTATCCACCCAATTCAAATTGAATTTTTCTGCAATGAATACCGTAGATTATGCAAATGTATTTGTTTTAGATTTAGTTTGTGGGTAGCACCACGTATGTTTGTTTGTATTGTCTGATCTTCATTAGTGCTTATGATATTAAGGCTTTGTTCAAATTCGCACGTCCTTCAAAACGAAAAGTGTCGTGATCTATTTCTGTGTGTGAATTGGAAACAAAGCCTCGAGCACAGATGAAGATCCGGGCTTACGGATCGAGAGCTTTGCAATAATAAATGCATGCGGTGTTATCCACAAACCAAAACAAATATTATATTATTGCCATGACAACTTATTATGCAAATGAACCTCTTCTACTCATTGAACTATAAATAAACTGGAAGGCTAACTGCTATATGATGAAGGCCTATGATTTGATGAAGCCAAAATAGTTTTTCTGAGTTATGAGCAGAAATACTTGACCCCAAACGTTGGGCTATATATCAAATTGAAGCTATTGAAAATTGCTATTCGGTGTGGAAATTTCAAGACTTCAGCGAAAAGAAAAATATTTAAAAAATACAAAAACAACTGCAAAACGGCAAATTATCGGTAATTATGTTTGTAGTTTTTCAATATTTCCCTTTTAGCTAAAGTCTTGAAATTTCTACACCAAATAGCGTTTTTCAATAGCTTCAATTTGATATATAGCCCAACGTTCAGTGTTGAGTATTTCTGCTCATAACTCAGAAAAACTAAAATGCACTGGCTTCAATTTCCCCCCCTGAGTTAGCCTTCCAGTTTATTTATAGTTCAATGCTTCTACTACGTCAGAATTTCTACCAATATGGCTGCCATTGACGTCATCTTTCTTTGCATAGCAGATGCACTACTATTCATTGCTAGTTTCAGGATCAATGGTGCATATGGCATACGTCTAGCGCTAAAAAGTGGAGATAACATCAAACTAGGCTTTCATCGCGTGCCAGTTGATACTGCATTTCTCCGGACGCAAACAAAGCATGAAAAGAATGAATTGAATTTCCTTTTGTTCTTCCCTGCTTTCCTGTAATCTAATCTTGTGCTAATATGAAGCTTATGTCACATTCTTTATGTTCATATGTCTTTGATTACCCCAATGAATATTAGCAATAAATATGTTTGGACACCTCATTCGACATTTGTAAATTTTACCGTGATTTACCCAAAAACATATACCTTAATACACTGGCATCCCCTTACGTGAACTTGGGGTTAATACTCGATAACTGGCCTCTGTAGCTCAGTTGGTTAGAGCTCGACAATTGGCCTCTGTAGCTCAGTTGGTTCGAGCACTGCACCGGAATCGCAAGGCAGCAGGTTCGACTCCTGCTAGAGGACCTATAGTTGCATTTTTGGCAACTGCTCCTGGCTCGGACCAAGTCATGAGAAAGCAACCTGGACAATTACACTACATTATTATTCAGTTCACTCCCCATTTGGGCTTTTCAGTGACCGATTACATCATGTATTACGATTACTTATGTTATTTACTTAGCCTAGACTAATATTACTATTATAATATTACTTTTCTAACTGTGGTTATCCTCATCCCACCTCATTCCCAAAAGCCTAACATGGGAAAATAAGCGCACGAATACACAAATACAGTGAGACATACGATGTACAGTAAAATTCTGGATATAACAACCCGAGGGGCATTTCACTCCAAAAATCCCGTACACTTCGTCAAAAAATCCGGAAAAAATCCGAACAAATCCGGAAAATCCAACAGATTTTCTCTTCAAAAATCCGCTAAAAAATCCGCGGATTTTTAAAAATCCAAAAATCCCGTACGCTTCGTCAAAAAATCTGGAAAAAATCGGAACAAATCTGGAAAATCCACACAAATCCGGAAAATCCAACAGATTTTCTCTTCAAAAATCCGCTAAAAAATCCGCGGATTTTTAAAAATCCGAAAATCCCGTACGCTTTTTTGGAGTGAAATGCCCCTCGTAACAACCCAGCAGATGAAACTTGACAATTAGACACCAATTTTTATCAGAACCACTTCAAACTGAAATTTGGAAAGGATTCTAATCATAGTTATATATGGAAGTGTACAGTGAGACAGGCCGCATTTTCAAAAAGGCCTTGGGAACGAGAGACAGTGTACTTGTACCTGATTTTTATAGAGTTCAGACATTCGCCAAATACAACTTGATATTCTGGGGCCGATTGTACAAAACGGTAATTAAAGTTAACCACAGTGCGAAAGTCAAGTAATCAAAATCGCGTATTTTAGAGTTAACTACTATTTAACTACAAAACGGTGGTCAAAAAGTAGTTATGAGTTTTATCATGGAAGCCCGGCAAACTTCAAAGCCACAAAATAGGAGAGCTTTGTTTGATATTGAACTGTATACCTCACCATGCACAGATCCACAAACGATTTTACTGTGCACGTTTTCCAATTACCCCATCTAGGGCAGAACAAATAAAAGAAACTTCCAAACAAAATTCTTCCTGTTTTTGTCATGTCTTGCGCAAACATAACTTAAAAGAAAAGGCAAAACTATGACAAAAATGCCTGTATGCTGCATTGTAAACTTCGACACAAGTATAAAATCATTTTTGTAATGAAGATATCGTGCTTAAATAAGATTAAATAATAACAAGCAAAAGCTGCAGGTAATTCAAAAGAACATTTTTTTCTACATAATTTCAAAAGTCTCAGGGTTTCAGCCGTGTTTCGTTCTAGTCTCGCCTGTGGTTGCGTCTCTAGGCCGAACCAGGGGAGGGAGAAAGGCAAGACACAATCAAAGACTGCAGACGGGGCAAAACTGTTTAGACAAAAGCGCAGACTTCAGTCATGAGCTGCATGCATGCGCAAAACAAATGCTAATTCAAAACATGGTCTATCAAGATGGTCTGGAAATTGAACATAAAGTCTGATTGAGTTTATGTTAATTTGTGCACGGTGATTGAGCTTATTTCATGTATTTTCGTACAACCACGTCCAATAGGGATAGCTGAGATGAAACGTGCAACCACGATGAATAATATTTAATGAAGTTGAGACAAAGGATTTGGGCATGGTGAGGTATAGTTGAACATCAAACAAAGGTCTTCTATAGTTTTCTATTTTGTAGCTTTGAAGTTTGACAGGCTTCCAAACCATCACATCTTGACAGACTATAGTCTATATGCAAAAGAAATCAGGTGGCGTGTGATATGGTTATGCCTGATACTGTGATAGTGCGGTAAAAATATATATTGGATTGTAGCAATGCCATTCTTGGAACGAACGAATTCACTATTCCAAGATGTTGCAATTTGTCTACGGTATTTCGAGGAGAAAAAATTGAGGTGAAACATCGATACATCCATCACTCCATCAGTCCATGAGAAGACTTTTACGATAATCTAGCTTATGGCATTTTTTCCATATAAAATCCATCTTCGTTTAACCATGAATCCGCGTCGGTAAAATTCTTGGCAAGAAAAATATTTTATTAATTATTCTCGCTTCTTCCGAAGTCTGTTTATATTTATTTCCCATGGCATGCGTTAATTCATTTCGCTGTGAGATTTTCACATTCGCTAAGTGTTTGTGGAATAAATACCCTATATACCCTCCAATTTTCTAGCTACAAATGAATGCATTTCAATGACAAAATATACTGCTGATGATATAATACAACTAATACAGTCGAACGACAAACAGCAGACAAAGCGGGAAAATTTTACATTGTAGAACAATAAAGATAGAATGGACCAGAATTGTGTTCAAACAGAAGTGAAAATGATTTTTTTGACATGTAGGCTATAAGAAAGAAAATATGAAGAAACAAAGGAAAATGCAAATGCTGCCACAAAATCTGGTCTGGCGTTTGTCTTTGCTTTCAAACGTGAAGTTTCAACTCCCGAATGTGAGTTCCATGGACGCGCTTGTCTACCTTGTGATACATGGAGGAACCGAACGAATAATTCATCTCATGTCGTTTGGAATTTGTGCGCTTTTCCGGTGTGTCATATCAGTACAAACTTTACATTCAGTTTAGCCGGCTATACCGCTAATTTCCAAACCGGGTGTGAATTTATAAAGGACCTCTTTAGACGTGTTTAGATCACTTACTTGAGCGTGCCATTCAACGCTTAGAATCATGCTTGTTGTTAAATATTTCAACTATAAGTCTATGAATATATATATAGTCGGTTAAAGCCTTGCGCAAGTTATGTGGAATACACCTTTAATTAAAAGTTATCGTTCGTAAGGTCATTCTGTTTATAAGGTTTCTTTTTTTTTAAAAATTGAGAGTCTATATTAGAGTCCACTCGACTCATTATACCGTGCATGATGGCGCAATGTCGCAAAATAGGTTCATGAAACATTTCGTACATTGAATCACGTGATTGAATTGGGGGGCTTCGTAGTTTATAAAATATCGGTAGTGATGTAGTATTAATACAAAACAAGTCTAATTTGTCAGGCTGATAAAACCAGTTAATTGCATGTATAAAACGATACAAAAACCGGAAAAAATAGCTTATGCCTTATGCTTAGAGATGCTTCTTTCAATGCGCATGCAGCAGCTAATTTGTACTGCAGCGATTATATTATTAATACCGACCGCGCAATGCGCTTCATACAACAGAAAAACTACCAGATGCAAATATATGTATGTGTATGTCTCCATGTATGTTCATCCAAACAAGCCATTGTAGCCTGCGTTGCCGGCGTTTTATAAGCCATTGTTTTCCCAGACACTATTGATAACACTATTCTTCGAATTTCTAGAAAGATCATCTTGCGACCATTGCCCGCTACCATCAGGCAATATATATAGGTTTGAACAATCTGTGCCAGTGTAGGTAGTGGCAATAATAATAAGAAAGCTTCGAATTCATATAGGATATACAACTACCTGAAAAATACAAGGAGAACTTCGACATTTCAAGAAGGCCCTTCGCCAGGAAGTTAGAAAGCTATTAATTTCCCGACAAGGGCCTTCGCTCGAAACGTCGAAATTCTCCTTGTATTTTTCAGGTAGTTGTATCCGAAGCTTTCTTCTCAATATATATATAGTTCCATCTTTCGTACATTTGTACATCAATCGATACATTTTTCGTTTAAAACGAAAAAAAACCCCGTTTGATAGCCCATCAACTATGAAATATTCCGCATGCCTTGCGTAATAAATTTTGAAGTCTTAATACTCGCCGTCTGATGTTGGAATCAGTTATTATTAAAGCCAGCGTTTTTCGTTCAACATTCTAACGTTTGTTGGAGTTTTATTTGATGACATGCATACAATGCAAATACAATATTATAATACTGGTGACGAATGGCACACCACACAATTAAAACCAATTACTGTGGGCCCTTTTAACATATAAGTTACATACGAATGTTTGTATCGACAAGGGTTACAATTTAAACATACAGATTTATAGTTGTACATGTAGATTCTGTTTATTTGTATTTTTCTACATGCTCAAATTTGCGCAACTATTTGCTATTAACGTCGCTTGAATATCACAACGAATTCACGCGCTTGTTATTTATAATTTAATGCATTTCAACTTGAAAATAATGCTGCGATAAACATCAAAATGTCGTTCGTTTATTCAATTTGATATTGCTTACATTTATGTCGAAATTTATTTCAAGACCTTTGTTAAATAGAATTCAAAATTCAAATAATCCTAGGTGTAAGCCTGCTAGGCCAAGTCAAATATACTCTATAAAATAGAATGGCAGTATTGTAAGCCAGCAGTTATATAGTCCGTTCTGAGATGAATATGCATCAAGCTTGTAACTTACCAAATCAGTTAAATGCGAATGGATTCTCCCACCAAACACCAGTCGCGGAAAATATGTAAATTAAGACGGTCATTCGATGAACTCGCGAAATGCGCCTATCGATCATGCTCGAGTACTTTATATACGACCTGCATGTGTGCAATCTCGTACCCAGTGCCACTTGATAGGAAATGAGATGTTGACCGAGTGCCCGGATATTGACCCAAATTATATTTTTGGAGTGGGAGAGGCATAAAATCATACTCTTCATGTATGTCTTTGTAGAGAGAAGTTCAGATTCGACGTCCACCGCTAACTGTCACTGTGGAAGTCAAAATCTGAATCTCTCTTACACAGCGTCTATAAGGAAAGAACTGGTAGAGATACCCACTTGAAATCTCAAATTTTAATTTCTAACCTGCGAACGGGCATATTCTGCCTCACGGGATTATTATTTCATTACTTTGCCCACCTTAGACTGCCTTAGCTCGCATTAGCCCACCTTAATTAGCTCATCCTCTCTGAAATTTCAAGTGAATTTTTCAATTTTATTGCAGCTCAAGGACAGTTGCTTTTAGCTGACAATGAACCAACCGTACCCAGGCTCTTTCCACTGGTGAAAATGTCTTGTAAAACAAAACATCCAAACTGGTAGGTTATGTTCCTATTTATGAGTATTAGTTAGTGAGTCTGGAGGCGTGCATTTCAGGTGTTATAGATTACTGAGTGAGCTGGGTATATGTCGGGCTCCACCCACTACGTGCATATACCGTATTTACTCGTTTGAGCGCTTTAAATTTTCAGAGCTTCAGATGCGGCGCTCATTCGGGGGCGGCGCTCTTTAAAAAAATCTTTTAGTTGTGAATTATAACAAGAATTTTAACAATGAAACACACAAATTTCAAATGTCTTTGTTACTAAATGTCTCCATTTTGACGGCGGAAAGTTTTTACACTGTTTGGTGCGGTGCTTATTAGGGGGCGGCGCTCTTTAAAAAAAATTAAATTGATCTAAAATGCGGAGCTCATTCGGGGGCGGCGCTCAATCGAGTAAATACGGTACTGCGAAGTTAATTGCGCAAGCAAGTTTACTAACTAAACAAAGCTTCATTGATATACTGGAGAGTATAAATACCAGTATAAATAGCACTCCTTTAAACGCAGTTTCTTCACAAATGCCTGTCATGCAGGCTCCAGCTTATATAATAATTCTAACGCAAAATATTCAAATACAATATGCGCTGTACTTGGTCTTGGGCTATGATATGGGCTCCGTCCCCTGACTCACGTACAGGGGCTGAGAAAATGCTCAGAGGCCTTAATTCTTGGTTAACAGAAACCTCCAAATAAATCTTCCCACTAGCTTATAAACATGGAAATATTTTTTTGTGTTAATCCAGCTTTGAACCACTGACCCCAGGGCCAGGATGCTTCCATTTCACAGAAAATATAATATACAGGTTTGTCAGAAATTCCGGATCAATGCAGTGCGAATGTGCGATTGCCGGAGGATTACGATGTCACCTGACAACTGGTTTTGTCGAACTGGAGGTTTTTATTATAAAAACTTTTAATCTTATGTTTAATTTTAGCTTCAATGTGCTGCAACGCGCAGCTGCAGTCTCGACACGGGGCTGCTCAAAGGTCGAATATAGACGTTTGGCTGGTGTAAATCTAAAAAAGATGTTTTCTGGCATAAATATTTGCAGACACTGGGTAGCTGTCTCGGTTCTAACATGTTCCCCGCTAGAGGTCATTAATGACAACTCCCCATTGATTCAGACTAGTTTATTTTGATAGTGGGTCGCTCTGCGAGGGCTGTTCAAAGCGTGCGACAACAATTTATTAATTTCCATCACACCATTAATTACTGGAATAAATTCAACTAGAAACCTATGTGCGGATCACACTAAACTTGGTAACCGCTTCACGATGCTTTACTTGCAAGATTTCGAAATCACCTGATATCTGGGCTGATTTCTTGATTGTTGCCGGTTTCAAGATTTCCAGGTAATATCAGTTACAGCAGTCTTGGTAATTTTCAATTTCAAATGTAAAGATTTGCTGTACCCAAAAAATGAGTCAATTTTGAGTCACTGTGGGCTCAATTTTTACTCAAATTTTTGAGTCAAAATTTTCTGAAGTGCCTTATAGAAGAAAATGTGTTGATCAACAATAGCATTTTCACTAAGACAAAGGCGACTATAAATTCTAGTTTTATAATCCCTTGAATATTACACGTTTGAAGTAGTTTGGGGTGTTTTATGCCAAGTCACTGACTGGTACTAGTATACAATACTTATAAGACTCTTTTAATTTAAAAAGAAACATATGTACTTTGAGGAAAGGTCACTGATGTATGCTCTGCCTCTGCTAAAAAAATGTAAGTAATTTTGTTTTCTACCCTTGACTTTTCGTTTCCCAAACTCACTTATATGTTAATACCGGAGGAATTTTGTTTTTGACTGAATTTCTCAATCAGTGCTGTCTAGAAATAAATGTCACACTCTCTTCGGAGTGCCACAATTAATTAATTTGCCTGTATTCAGTCTGCAGGATTAATTAATAGAACCGGTCAGTATCCGGCTTAAATTGCAACTTATAAAAGATGTAATCAATTTGTCTGCCTATTGTTATTATTGCTATCATAAAAGTCAAGCTAAAGTCATATACAAGCAGTAGCAGGCCAGCCTTGTTGATTGAAAGGCATGTAGACGTTTTCCATGTACCCAGTAGTTCCTGTCGCGTCGGCATATCTGGGATTTATGGCAAATGCCCAAAATCCCAGGCAAAAATTAATTCATAAATGCACACAGGAAATTAATTAAGACCCAATTCACACGTGGGAGTCAAGGGAATTGATTTTAATGTCAGGGTGTCCATGGGCCTTGAAAATCCTGCAAAGTCCTTGAATTTGTAAAACACCCAACAAAATCCAGGCCTGACAAGCCCTTGGAAATTAGTGCAAGTCGTTGAAAGCGAGGTTGAAAGTGCTGGAATTGTTTCCAGCTGTGTTGATAATACTTGAACAATATGTGAACTATTGATTTTGATCGAATACCAGTGTTTCAATACGGTAAAATCCGTGTCGCTAAAAAAGCCCTATGGCAGCCAATTGCAATTTTAATAAATTTAGTACTTAGGTTAGATATAGTTTAACAAAAGCATACTGTGGCAATCAATTTAGCACTGTCGCTGAAAGCCTTTGATTAAAGATTTCAAAAATCTTCCTTGATTGTTGAGAGAAAGGAATGAAATTCAAACCTGGGTTCAATCCTTGGTCGGACCTCTACTCAATCAAAATTTTAAAACAATTGAGGAGAAAGTGCTACCTTTACATTGACATCAGTAAATGGTTAGACTTTCGCGTCTTCTCGGATAAGGACGTTAAAATCGTATAGATACCTCGGATCCCCTATCAATTATAGCCTGTTGGGAAATCATCTCACCAATAAGTTAGAAACTGAATAAACTCAAAACTCAATAATATATAATTTAAGCCGAGAATTTTACAATAAAGTGTTTTCTATACCTTTAGTTTTTATGACAAGCCCAGTACTGTTTTCCACACGATCTTAATTAGGATGTTCAAAGTCCACATTTCGAATCAACAAAGAGGTTTCAGATTTCTAGTACGAGAGCTCATCATTCCATCAAGGCAATTAAAAGTTATATTTTGCCTTTAAATTAGGAAATATATTCCTCTATAATTGTACCTGTCTTTATTTCGCTTCACCGGACGAAAATGCTGGTACAAAAATTATTTAATGACGGTTCTCTTAACTGTGGCTATAAGTTAAAGAAAATAATGAATGAACAGTTCGTTACTTTGACATGCATATACTTGGCTTATTGGTTGTTTAGTAATAATGACTTTTTAATTAATATTTAATAAAATCTTTAGACATGGACGGTAGGCTTTCAGTATATACAGCCAGATTTTCAACACATTTAAGTCTATCTCCTGTTTGTATGTTTTGTTTTCGTTGTGTATTTACCCTGCCGTATTGACGTTGATATACCGGGTGTCTCAAAAAAAAGTATCGGTGTTTGATTAACATAATGTAAAAACTATACCAGGTATGGCTTTCAAATAAGTTTATAGTATGATGCTTGTGATGTTACTCTGAGTGTATATCCACTCCGGGCAAGCTTGAAAAATATGCCTGGCCAATTCCTACGACCTTTGGACCAACATTAGGAACAAAAAAAACTTTGTTCCTAATACGTTTACTACGCTTCCAACGCACAATGATTACTAATACCACCAATGCGCGGCCAATCTCTTATTACATACTCGCCCGGCCCCCTTTTGGTCACATGATGTGCCGACGTAACGAGGCTTGGTTCCCTAGCTGTTAACCTTTGTTATTGCATAACCTCATGAAAAAAAATATTATGATAACTAGATTGCATTGATATCGAAGGAACTAGACTCGGTTCCGAAATATCACATACTCGAACCGACCTGACCGCGTAGCTCAGTTGGCAGAGCATTGGGCTAGTATTCCAAAGGTCGTAGGTTCGATTCCCACCGTGGCGAGGCATATTTTTCAAGCTTGCCCGGTGTGGATATACACTCAGAGTAACATCACAAGCATCATATTCACCTGAGTACATTACACCAACAGAAAGTCTTACTGTGGTCTACTGTATATCATCTGAGTTAGAACACATTTCATGTGGTGTACCACAGGGATCAGTCTTGGGTCCACTCTTATTTCTTCTTTATATAAATGACTTTAATAATTGTGTTCCTGATTTAGACTTTCATCTTTTTGCAGACGATTCAAATCTATTTCCTTCAGAAAGTAATATTCAAAGACTAGAAGCTAAACTTAATCATGAACTGAAAATATATGGTTATGCGCAAACAAATTAACACTCAATGTCGAAAAGTTATTATTTCATACACCACAAAAGAAAATAAACTACTCAACATAAAGTAATATGGGTATATACAAGACAAATATTCACCCAACAGTAATTCTTCAAAAGAAAGTAATACGTATAATAACATTTTCTCATTATCGCGAGTCACACACCTCACAATTTTAAGAGACTTAAGCTCCTGAAATTTTGTCTTACCTAATACAACATTACTTACGCATAAATTTAACAACAACAAACTTGCATATGAGTTTATGAACTTTTTTATCTGTTAGTTGCAAGCATCATTATATAGTACAAGAAGTTCTGCGAAATCATCCTTTTCCCATTCCCAACCTCGCACTAATTATGGAAAGTATCAGATTGACGAGTCCATTAAATCTCTGAGCGCATCTTCTTTTAAAAAGAATTTAAAACAACAGTTAATTGATTACTACCAGTTCCGCGTAATTAGTATATGTGTAACAGTCAATTTCCTTTTTTTTTTGTTTTGTTTTGTCTTGTGTTCTTTTGGTTTCTGTTTTGTTTTGTACTTTGTGTTTTCTTTTGGTTTCTGTTTTGTATTGTACTTTGTCTTTGTTTTATTTTTTCGACTTTGTTTTCACCGGCTTCTTGTGACACTCTTTAAATAATAGTATATTGTAATATATTAATGACCACCTGTCTCGATTAGGGACCGGTCATTAATAGTGGGACGGGGGGAGGTGGATAAGAAAAGGAGGGCGGCTTCAACTATTTTTGTCTGAACTGGGGGCGGCCTCAAAATGGGAGGTATGTGTCAAGGGGCAACCCCAATTTCTTAATACTTTCCTACTCATTTTCAATCTCTCGCCTTTATCGTATGCAACAAAATAGTTCACCATAGGAATCCTATAGTCGTATCCTATAGTCACCATATAGTTCACCGTAGGAATCCTATACCAATAGTTCACCATAGGAATCCTATAGTCGTATCCTTTATCCTATAGTCGTAGTTTCCACACTTTATTACGGATATGCAGTTCACCATAGGAATCGGAGTAAATAACAACCATTTTGAATACTGGTCCTCTAATTATTTAGGCTACACAATGTCTTACACCAGTACTTGTCCCATTACCTATTTTACACCAGAAAATGTAACGAATTAAATGTTGGAGTGGGGACTGGGGGGAGTCCTAAATTTTCTAGATGAAGGTGGGGGCGTCTTGAAAATAAAGCTCTTGCGATCGGGGGCGGCTCTAAAAATGTCCAATATTTGGTATTTATCACCCCCCCCCCCCATTATAAATGACCGGTTCCTTAGCCTTCATGGTTATAACAGGGGGTCAGCACTTATATTTTTGTAAATAAACTCTATAATAAATAAAAAATAATAATTCCATGTAACATATACAAGTGCAAAATATAATATATAATAATTGATATAATATATTATATAATACCTTATTAAATTCTAATCGTGTAATTGGCTGTTTATGGTCACGTGATATTGAATAGAAAATTCCATTTCCCAAGAGTGCAATGGAACACGTTCCATTGCACTCTCCGCGAGTGCAATGGAATAAAACGTATAGTACAATTGCACTTGTTGTGTTTTCGATAAATCGCATCCCTTCCAAATCGCATTCCATCTTTCACTCTTCGGTGAAAGATGGAATGTTCCATTCAACTCGGCTGTCGCCTCGTTGAATGGAACATTCCATCTTTCACCTCATGAAAATATTCTTACCATTGCACTCATAAACATTCATTATTTGTATAATATATAATATAAAATAATAATATACTACAGAAATATCATATAATTGTATGGAGCTTGAATAGGATAATAATATTAATTGACATCAATACCACTCTTCACATGCGATCAAATTAGTCATTGCAGAATGCCGATCAAAGTTTGAAGCATGCAGTTCTTAACTTAAGGCTGTCACACACGAGAGCAACTTGCTGAGCTAACCGCCTCGCGTGCATGGCAGCTAGCTCGGCAAGTTTCTTTTGTGTGCGGATAGTATAAGATGGGAAGTTTCTTAATTAAACCAAAACCAAATAAGGTTTAGGGGCGGACCATTAGAAATCCCGGGAGGGGGGGGGTATAAAATTTTTGCGGCATGAATTTTTTTTTCAGTCTCATATCTCTGCAGGAATTTTTTTAATGCATTTAACCTCTGCACGAATTTTGTTTCAAGACTTCTTGATTTTGACCGACAAGTACCGAAAATTTTTTTCCGGAATTTGTTTTGGCGACCTCCCCCCCCCTCCCCCCCCGTCGCCAAAAATTTTTCGGTCAGTGTACCATTTTAGGGGTCAAACATTTTTTCAGGACATACCACATACCAAAAGTTACCACAAAATTGACAGAATTTATCAATTTTTTTTTTTTAATAAACTAAAATTGCCCGACTGTTCAGCGAATATTGCCCGACTACAAACTGACCGGTACACCCATGACTTTTCTGTTTGCTTGCACGAATTTTTTTTCCAGGCATTTTTCTTTGCACGAATTTTTCTTTGGGGGAATTTTCACCCCCCCCCCCTCCCGGGATTTCTAATGGTCCGCCCCTTATGTACATGGAATCAGCTATTGGTATTTCAACTATTCAATGAATGCCTGTGATACGTTTGTATATGTAGACCTATGTATGGCAACAGAGGTATGGCACCGAATCGGATAAGATTGTCAATGTAACTGATCTGTTTTGTGGAAAAACCACGTTTATAAAGTTAATAAGAAATAAAATGTAAAGCTTGAGTTCAAGATCTATTTTTATGAAGAGAAGGTGAATCATAAAATAGTTATATGAAGTGTATTAAATATTGATTTTTTAATGCGTCGTGCGTGAGAAGGCTGTTTTTTATAGGTGCATATAACACGCACGCACGGAAAAGCTTAAACCCTTTTAAATTTTACTTTCGAAATAACTATTTGAATACAAGGACAGGTTTAATTTTCTGTGTAATTTAATTTGTATTTGTTGAGGTAATTAGTGCTAATATGAAATTTAGAACGACTTAAAAAAACTTTTCCGTGCGCACACGCACGCATATCAGCTGCAAAGCAGCATTTATTCTCTTAGTCCAACATCCTATTTTTTACATGGTCACGTCTTTTCAATTGTGATAATATCAATGATATTACCACGTAAGAATGGTCTTATATGAATAATTTCGTCGATGTTTTAGTCATGCGCGCATCGCAAGGCACGCACCAATTGCTAATAATAGAAAAATGCAACTCTGAGAATTTCAGAATTCAGCTAATTCGCTGATATACCCTCGCATGTATCTACATTGGCACCACTCCACTGACTAGTTAACACTGGAAAAAAATACAAAAAATTGAAATTTATACTATGGGATTTGAGCACTAAATCCGTAGTATATCCATATTATTTCCATACTATAATCTATATCCATATAGTATGGAAATTGCAATAGACCTTTCCCCTTATTGAGTAAAATTTTGATCTAGACAAGTCTGGACAAAAATTTCATCACAGCTTGAAAGAGCATCACAAAATTAGTAATATTCCGAAGTTTTGTTGCGAAATATTGTAAAATGCGGATAATTGCGAAGTTTGCCGTTTTTCAGTCATTTTGTATTACAAATGGGAAATTGATAATCAGTTTCATCATCTGATTACTAATTTCCCGTTTGTAATACAAAATGACTGAATAACGGCAAACTTCGCAAGGCTATATTATCCGTAGTTTACAACATTTCGCAACGAAACTTCGGAATATTACTAATTTTGTGATGCTCTTTCAAGCTGATGAAATTTTTGTCCAGACTTGTCTAGATCAAAATTTCACCCAAAAGGGGAAAGGTCTATTAGTATATATGAAATTGGATTTCCATATTAGTTTCCAACGAAGATCCACGCTATTTCCATAGACTATAGTGAGAATTTTGCGGAAAAAAAGATTTCAGTATAATTTAATTTTGCGAGCAATTAGGCAGTGGTTTCGCCCGTTTTCAAATGTCTTCACCGACACTGTTTCAAAACATAACTATGGCTATGCACACAAAAGCATCAATATTTAAAGTACAATTCGAATGTAAGCCGTGCGTTAGGCCAACCTGGCAACGGGATGATTTGTTGCAAGTAAAATTTGAATTTATTTTAATTAACAAACGGTTAGACCTAATCATTACTCGGCTAATCTAAAAGCCTCATTTTCCACGCCTAACCCACCATGCCCATGGTCGAGGAAACATGGTGGGTGGAGTCGCAATAACTTAAATGAGAAATGCGGGTCAGGCTGTTGAAACAGCAAGACAAAAATGCATTCAAACATATAGATGATTCTGCAAAGAAAGGTTTACAATTATCAAAAACAAGGTAAACAGTAGAGGCAGCCTGAGTCGTAAATTTAAACGAACGGAATCGTCCTGGCATGGTAATTGCCGTGGCCATACAGCTGACCCGCACCTGTGTGCATACGCGGCTAATTTAATATTACAAGTCTTTGAACAAATGTGGTTTTAAAGCTCTTCAAGGCTTTAAAATTCTACTATGACTATATTCAATATAATAATTGTTAGACAACGTTCAGGCAAATAAGCGTTTTTGGTCCGTTTCAGACGGTTTCATGCGGCGAACGTTATCGACGAATTAGGTATGACAGAAGAGCGCCGCATGAATCAGTTTTAAAAGTAAGGCAGAATTTGAAGCGACAAACGTTCGACAGAAGTTAGACAGCGCCTGTCGAACTATGCGATAATGGAGCGGCATTGATTCATACGCCACTCAACTCATGTACCAAACCCAACTCAATTTTTCGTTACTTGCCATCTCGTAATATTTACTTATTTCACACCATTTCTGAGTAACATGTAAATGGTCGATTTAAACTTTTCCGTCGCGTACACGCACGTATATGAAAAACGCTTAACTGGAAAGCACCTTTTTGATCTTTTGTGAATATTTAAAATGTTCTAATTGACGCAATAAGGAAAACGATTAACTGGAAAGCACTTTTTCCATCATTTGTGAATATTTAAAATGTTCTAATTGACGCATTAAGGAACAGCATATTCATAATATATAACAAGAATCTATTTCGCTGGAACAACGGCAGGAAATTTTGCGCAACCATGCATTACATATTAAATGTACCGTACATTCAGGTGTCTGAACAGCTATACTCGAAAAAATATAAAAGCTAAAACATTTCGATGTTTTGAGCGACTTCGAGTATTAATCTTTTTCAGGTGGCCCGCTCAATCAGCTGTAAACCATGACACATTATATATGTATATACCCCAAATATTATTTTATTTGGAACATATATGCTTTGTATTGTAGTTTCTTAAGTTGTCGGCAGAACATGGTTTATACTGTACCACATTTTAATTACTTGCGCATGCACTGTTTAATATATAATCGGTAAAGACCGATTTGCGCACATCTCAGACAACCATGGACATGTCGGTGACTATGACTTCATTATTCTCGTCCGGTTTTAGCCATTAGAGACCTTACGTTGTGGGACGGCCGATGTGACGACGACGGCTATTCATGTGAGATTCATAATATTTAAGAAAAAAATGAATACGTCTTGGATAAAACGCCTGCATTTGAAGACGCGAGAAGTGATACTTGGCAAATTAGCTCAGTACTACAGCAGAACCTTCTGAACAATAAAGCCACTATTTCAAGCTAACCAAACAATATTAAATTGATACGAGCAAATAATAGTCCACAAACTTTCTTTACAATCGTTTATTTGAATGATTTTATTCTGGTCATCGTCGTTGGGTTGCCATCCTATACATCGTATAAAGGTCTGTAGTCTTAATCCAAGCAGCTGAGAGCTGGTCCACGAAAGGCGCAGAGAAATATTTCATTAGGGTATTTCCCAGTCAACCTAAATGCCATGATCAGTGCTCTTATGCATCCCCGTGTACAGAGTATATGTACAAATCAAAATATATATGTATAAGGTGATTTGTATAAACAAATACCGAACACAGATGGACCACAGCATTGAGTTGCAAGTGCCGCAACCCCTAGCCTGTGGATAAGATGAGCGCACTTGTGAATACCATCTGGCTAATTTGCATATGTCACGAGAGAAATTTACGCATTCGATATAAAGAATACGAACTCTCGGCAATTCCTTCTCCATATAGCTTTTATACTTGTTCAGCATTTAGCGTGAGGCTGTGAGCATTCAGCATAAGCAAAGCTAGATTAATACCTTAGCCCTATGGTCGAAATTCAATTGAGCAATGCTTGAAAAATGACATTTTTTACATCACTGAATCTGCAAAGATACGTCGCTTTGCTCTGGTTATCAAGATATGCAAATATTGAATGTTAACATAAACACTACCCATAGCGCATCAATTTGGTATGTACTATCAACTGTGGTACTATATGTGGGTAATCTCCGGCGGTCTAAAATGGCTGCCATCAAATCTTTAAATCTTTACTAACCTTTGAAAACTCTGCTGATCTCTGCAAGTGCCGACGATTTTATGTAAATATCCAACCAGTGCGCTATTGCTTACTCACGTTTTCAATGTAATGCAAGTCCTTAGGGCGTTTTTTAAACACTGTTGCTATTTGTTGCGTTCTTTTCTCGTCCGCACGATCGCGTCAACTGAAAACCTGACATTCTGCAACCAGACCTGACCTATTGTTTGCAATGTTTATGCAAAAAAAATTGAAACCGAATACTACCTGTAACACGAGCTTGAACATTGCGGTCGCTTAGCAACCCAGAAAAACACTCGCAAATCCCAGAGAAAAGGAAACAATAACATAGGCAACCTCGTACGTACTCTTACCTTCGGGAGGTATTTCTGGAAAATTCGCGATACGTCGATACAGAACGGTAACAAAAAAATGCCCGACAGCGCTCTGTTGTAGAAAAATCCGTATTCACTTTTGCTTAGCAAAATTTATGTATTTCAAACTCTTATCATCTTTATTACCCATGTTTTTTATACGGTATTTTCTTTGGAATTGACCGTGTGCGGTGTGCATAAATTATCACACAGTGCGTGATTCATGGGGGGGGATCCAAAGAAACACATCTTTGTGAGCTACATGTCATGTGTACATGGTCGATAAATATCAAGGTAGCTGGATTGTCATATAAACGCTTAACTGGGAGACAAAATTTGGTGTATACTAAGTGGTCGAGTGACTCGAGTCGCCGGTCGCAAGATGCCGGTGTATTCAGGCGGGGAGGAATCTTACACTATGCTCTAAAAATATCCCAAAGCAGCTAGGTTGACTGGTTGCCAGAAAAGTCTTGAATTTTTTTAGACTTGCAGAACATTTCAATATGTCTGTCAATTTCAATGTTAAATTTAGATCGCGCGTCTTTTGGGAGCCTCATATCCAAGTATAGTCTGAAGTGACAAGTATATAAACGGTAAAAATTTTGGTATTTTAACGGTAACTTTGGTATTTTAACGGTAAATCTTTGAATCTGCTGAAAAGTGTTCTGATACAATAAATAGTTTTTTTTTCCCTCACGCTTCACGGTAAAACTGTTTTAGTGTTTTCACGACTGACGCAAGCCCGTAGCTGGCTCTCAATTTTTGAGGGGGCACTCACTGCAGAAAAAATGTAACGGACGGAAAAAATGAATTTATTTTGTCGACCTCCCCCCCCGTCGCCAAAAAAATTTCGGTCAGTGTACCATTTTAGGGGTCAAAAATTTTTTCCGGACATACCAATTTTTCCGGACACACTCAATTTTTCCGAAACCTAACAAAATTTTTCAAAAATCACAAAATTTTCCACAAATTTTACAGAATTTTTCCATTATTACAATTTGTTTCCAGGCCCTTTCTCTAAATTTTTCATACCCAATTTCCGAGTGGGGGGGCACTGCCACACCGAGTGAGGGGGCATTGCCCCCCCAGGCCCCCCCCCCCAGCTACGGGCCTGGACTGACGGTAACCGAAATTGAGCAATCAAGACTCACGGGATATACCCCATCAATACCCTCTTATTAATATAACAGGTAGGCTTATCCCAAACAATCAAGAGATTATAGCCAAGGCATCAGTTTAACTACAAAAGAATGATAACATCTGAAATATAATATTTAAGTTCCTCAAATGCCTTTTCCTACATTTATTGTTATCTACTTTAAAGATAACTACACGAACGTTTATTCCAAGTTTTATGCTATTTATGCAGTTTGTGTTTATTTGCAGCACACATCAGTGCTTCTTGATAATTACTTCTGTTTGTTCCGAACAGAAAAGAACAATCTGTGTTTTTTATGTATGACATAAATATGACGTCATCTCAGCTGGAAATATGTTTTCAGTTTCCTCCTGCAATGACCCTGGACCACTGATATGAACTAAGGACTGGATAAAGAATCCTATTGACTTCAGAACCCGATTTTGAAGCCAGAATATTTTAATGAGATGAGATTTATAAATCAGTCAAATTCATGACCATAGCAAATATCTTTGCCTATGTGACTTGTGAAATATAGCTTCCAAAACCTCTTCGAAATAGTTTTAGAATGTTTTATACGGCCACATATTGAGGCTATTATGGCGGCCATATTTGATAAGTAATTGTACTTATTCACTGGCAAATTTAGGAAAAAAGAGAGGCTATATACTGATGATAAATTCTTATCTAGGCAATATTTGTCCTTTCCCACTAGTGACTATAGAAACGTAAAGGAAGTGTTAAACAAGTGCACAACACCAGCCGATTAGATTAATGGTGGGACCATCCAATATGGCCGCCAATGGCTTCACTTATGCACAGCAGATGGTTTATCCAGTCTTATTTTATTTCAGTGGACTGGGCCAGTATTACAGTTTAGAGGCAGGGGCGTAAATCATGGGGGAGGCGTTGGGGTGTGTGACACTCCCAAATGTTTTGTAGGTCAAATTTATCAAGTATTCAATAATTTAATCGGTTCTTTGTAGGTTTGCATGGCGCGATAAAAAAACAAACAAAAAAGTATTATATTCAATAATTTGTTGGGTAAAAATACATTCAAATCATGTCGGCGTATAAAAAAACAGGAAAACATAAAAGTCTATAGTAAAATTTGCTTTTCTAATATATACCTCGTTTTCTGACCATCAGAATTCTGTAAAATCTTTGCCAGCGAATGTTGGGTTCTGTGTCATGAACAAATTATATACGATAGGCATTCAAGTTTCCCGGAGTTAAAGTAGTAACATTAGTAAATGGTTATGACATTTCCATGCTTACACTCACCAAGAATAATAATAATAATAAAATAATGAGAATTAATGACTCGTGCGGTTTAGAACTTTAGACCTAACATCCGACCATATGTCATATTAGTTGATCATATGGATATATGGTGGCTATATTAGACCTTTAATCTTCAAAAATTCCTCGCTGCCCGAATGTACACAATGACATATCGTTTTCAGTCGTGGTGAAATGAATTGATTGTTATGTCAATTATGACTCCAGTTGCGAAATATAGTTATGCGGTTCTGACAAAAAGCTCATCACTATTTGTTTGTTACTTATAGATTTAATGCATTCTTCAGTGATTTTTATTATACCGAAAGGCATTGAACTGGTATCTATGTTGATTAAATATTATTATTTTTAGAAAGTTTAGATTTCAAAATTGCCCAGATGAACATAAGTCCGGACCCCTCTAGAGTTCGCCTAGCCCCTCTCCCCCAACCAAACCAATTCCCTTCACGACGAATTAGGTTCGACAGAAGGGCGACGCATGAATCAGTTAAGAAAGGCATAATTTGAAAAGCTCTTAACTGGAAAGCACCATCTCATTCATATTTGGATCATTTGTGAATATTTTCAATATTGACGCAATAAGGAATAGTAACAACATCCGATGTTTGCTGTTTTATTGTTTTGTTTGACGTTTATGACAAGAATTTATTTCTCTGAAACAACGGCAGGAAATTGAGTTGCGTATAACACATTAGCATAATCTGCGTGCATTCAGGCGTCTGAACAGCTATACCCGAAAAAATATAAAAGCTACCAAAACATTTCGACGTTTTGAGCGAATTAGGGAACCAATCCTGCTGCCTATGGTAAAATTATTATACTTAATGAATGACCCTATATTTTTGCGTTGAATATGTTAATTTTTGCACTTTTGAACAAAAATTTTTTTTTCAATTATTGAGAATACGTGCTTCCAATCAGATACTTGACTATATACAGCCAATTACATGCAGACGAGCAAAATTTGCACTTCGGTCTTCTGACAAGTATATGTTAGCTTTTGAACAAGACAGTGCACTTGTCATCGAAAAACTTGGCAAAGTTTGACAGACGACTAGCTAATACAACTAATGGTCATATATGAAATCTTGTCATACAAAACGTACTTATCTACTGCCGGCTTATCAGCCAAAATACCGCAGGCTTTCTTAATTTAAGTATCTTCAGGTACTCCGGACTCCGGATTCAACCTGTATAGTATTAATGGACGAATAAATTGTTATGCCGGATTATTCACACCAATATTTTTTTTCACTTCAAACAAGATTTGGGAATAGGAAACTGACAAATTTACTACGTAGGTACAGTTAAAACCACTCAAATGTATGTGAAGATTGTTTTTATAAGTCGACTGGTCAAGTATGTAAGAGTCTTAACACGCATTGCATGGTTGAAAAAAAAGTTAATAAAACTCAGTGCCACCCAGTGGGTTTCTGCGACAGGATTTGGAGGAAACTCTTTTTCCAGCCAAGCATAACATATATTTTAAGGTTTTGACTTTTGACTAAGCGTTTTAATGACATTCATTTTACAATGTGAAAATCGTATTTATGTAAAAATCGAGTACGCTCGTCCACATGGTCATATTAATTAAGAAATGAAATTCCAACACCACCGTAGTAAAATGCTAAGTTTGGTGGTAAAATATTGTAAAGTAAGGATAATATGGCCTTGCAACTAAGTTTGCACATTTTATATACTTTTATATTTCGAAAGCCATTTTGCCTACCGCGAGCAGGCAAATATTCACTATAAGAAGATTTTTCTCAAAATAAGATCTATTTAATTCTTATATTCGCATTATAAGACGATTTTAGACAATATAAGAAGATTTTCAACATTCGAAAAAAATTAATTTAATTAATGACACATTTTTTGATCACCCTATACTATGCCATTCATTTGTAAGTCGGTCTCGTGGCAAATCTACTCAGTGAGTCAGTGAACTAAAAATTACTAACAAGGACTGTATTTATTAATTATACATTGCAAACAACCGCAATAAAAGTACAATAATAGTAATGTCATCGAAAAATTAATATAAAAAGATATAGGATGGGTCTTCAAAAAAATCTTATATTATTATAAGAAGATAATATTAAGAGATAATAGTAGATTTGTCAACTTAGGTATCAGCAGATTATAACTTATCATAACTGTCCTGTTTAATTGTATTACTGTGACAAAATATCAAATTGATGGGATATTCCGGTAGAAGTTTTATTCATTATTTGATTTTAATGTCGATATTTTTCTATTAGTCGGGCCGCCCACGCGCTACGATATTTGTCGGCCGATTTTTATAGGATTTACGCCCATGCTTTGGAGGGAAGAAGTTATTTCGCTGACCTCAGAATGACATTTCGTCAAACCGTTTTTCTTCAAGATTGGTTTAGAAACAAACTTGGAGTAGGGTTAGGATTAGGGTTAGAGTTGGTGTTGGAATAAGGTTAGTGTTAGTAAAACCGGTTGCTTTGATACGTCTTGTTACTCTGAGGCCAGCGAAATCGAACCTCTTCCGCATTGGAGAGGATCGAGGATAACGAGCCCACAGAGCATACCATTGGCCGTACGTGGCCGTTTCTCGTGGTAACATGCGTCTAAATAGAGCCGAATATACTCCGTATTCGATCGATCTATAGTATGGCATAGCCGTTCGTTTACAGCTCATCTGGCTGCCCTAATTTGAAAGAGTCTAGAAAAGAGCACTGAATATAATCCTCCTTGGCACGTCTTGCCGAAAAGCTTTGAGTGAGCAGTGTCTCACTCCATTGTCCTCGTCTAGATTGATGGTAACCGGCTGCCTCATCTTTTACCTCAGACTAGAGAAAACGTGAACTATAATTTACGTAATTCAAATGTAGAACTGATCTTTTTAAGAAAAGCTTTTTCCCAAGTATGATTCGAGTTTCAAACATGCCATTTCGATTCTATTTTATTTAAAATTGTAAATATAGTATTAGTTTTATTGTAACGTTATAACTTATGTAAGGACATTGTAATTCAATTTCTTTGTGATGATGATGCGCCATTAAAACGTAATAGTATACCATAGATTAAGATATAGGCGTCTCAGGGTTTGTTCAAAACTTGAAAGTCGTTTGAAAATTTGAAAACAAAAATTCAAGGCTCTTGCGTGCCTTGAAAGTCTTGAATTTATAAAGTGCTTGAAAGTCATGTAATTCTTCATGTTTTAGTTTTTGGCTAACATTTTCATTAGACTACATGTCGCCATTTCAATTAGGAAATGGTGTACAGGATCTCTACTTCAGGATTTATCTTGTAAATACAAGATTAATAGTGAAGTATAGCCATAGTAGTTACGGATTAAAAACAAGGTACGGCTGCAGGCTATATGATTATGAATATTTTCGTTCTGACCTGTTCCGCTGCAGTTTATAGGTATTGAATGAATTAAGTATTCAATCATTTCAATAATTTTGATATTCAATTAGTGTAATTATCAGATTTAGCTATCACACATAAAAAAATGTCTGAGAATTTCGGCAAAAATGTAGAATTTATGGGGGACTATAGGTGCCTAGGTATACAAACGAAGGAGAACTTTTCGCTTGAAACATCGAGGTTCTCCTTGTATTTTTCAGGTAGTTGTATTCCTATCAATCCAAAGCTTTCACTTATTATTGCCACTACATACACTGGCACAAACCATTCAGTAGAGAAGTTCACGGATTTGACTTCCATTACCGCTACCGGGTAATGTCCATAGATATTGATTATTGACATTATTCACACTCCCCTGAAGGGGCTTTTCAGTGACAAAATTTACAAACACATAAACTTACTGTATTATTACTACATTTAGTCCTAATTAATTTTATTGAAACATATTACTAGCAAACAAGGACAATTTCACAAAAACTGCGACATGGACATCAACAACAACAACAACAACAACAACAACAACAACAACAACAACAACAACAACAACAACAACAACAACAGCAACAGCAACAGCAACAACAACAACAACAACAACAACAACAACAACAACAGCGATGATGATAACACAACAACAGTAACATCGACAACGCTTATTGATTAACTACTGAAAAACAAGTACTTAATAACTATCCAGGAATTGCTGGAGAAGTTTATGTCTTAGTTTTAACTTAGCTTAGATATCGTATACAGCTATTGATTAAGGTTGTCCCCCGAGCAAAGCGGAAAAGTCGAATACAAGCGCGAAAGGTTCGCGCTTGTATTCGACTTTTCCGCTTTGCTCGGGGGACAACCTTAATTGAAATAGCTGTATACACTAGATAGCGCATCTCTTTTAGTAAAATTGAAGCCAAGAATATTCCAGCGGTTACCCCCATTTGAATAGATGGCGGCCATGTTGGAGTTTCCCATTCGCTAATAAACGCTTGAAAAACAACAAAAACCTTCCCTTTTCCCCTTGCGCGCGTCCACCTTTGGTACTGATCTATATATGTAGATTATAGATATGGATATACCTATTCGTCCCTATAAAATTGAAATTCAGATAACGACTGGGGACGAGTCTGTGGCAATCACGAAATATGATTGGTTAGCAGGACGATTGGATTAGGTCTCGTGATTGCGTGACATGAAAAGATAACCCTCTAGTCCATCCCCTTTGGCCACGGTAATTGCTAGATAGTATACTTCAAAATAAGATTTCCGTTTTTATAACGTAGAAAAAAAACATCCTAACGCAAAACTAAACTCTAACCCTAATATTAAACTTAACCCTAACCCCAACCCTAACCTAACCATAACCCTAACCTAACCCTAACTTATTTAAAAAATTGATATAAAAACGGAAACCTTATTTTGAAGTATACTATCTAGCAATTTCCCTTTGGCCACGACACTATACCTCTCACTGGCTTAGTATACGCATCTCAGCATCTGATTGGCTAATCGGATATATCAAGCGCGTGCATCTTATTGGTTAACGAATAATGGTCCCTGAATGGTAGCGATGGCGGCAGTGGAAGTCATATCTGAACCTCCCTAATATTATGTACAGTGTTAGAACAAGATTAAGAGATTAAGCACTGCCAATGTAAGAAAACCTTATCAAACTCTGAGCCGGGTTCTTGGCGCTGGACTAAGTGGACCGCAAAAAATCTGCCCGCTCTGGTGGTGAGATTTGGTGTGATACCATATTCTGTTTATACCATATCCAATCGATTGATGAGAAATTTGAAAAGTTAACGTTATAGCGATTGTTGCTTGAAAACTAATTCACTACTTTAATTCGCTACTGAAAAAATGTAGTTCGCAAGCTACTACTGTTTTAAAAAGGATGATGAATTAGCCTTTCAGTCACTATTTCCAGCTTTACTTTGGGCATTTGAATACCACCGAATTATTACTGATTTCTGGTGTTCTGGTCATATTTATATTTGCATTGTAAAATAGCTACTAAATGGTTCATAAATGTGTTGATTACTTATATAGACAAGATTCACTCTATTTCAAGTTTGAAGTCATATAATTATAGAAGTTTTAGATTTTATTAGAAAAATAAACACCTCCTACGCAGCTGAAACCGGTTCGATATAGCAATGATCCATACGATGAAAGAATCTATCAACACTGCGGTATAAATGAGATCGGAAATGAACATCACTATTCAATCATTGCAAGAAATACTAGGTTTACTGTTCTCAGGCGGATTTATTTTTGAATGCTTGCTCTATCAAAAAAATCGCACGTTCCGTTCATTTAATAATCAGAACTTGTGTACCAATATTGCCATTTCTGTTTGAATAAAGTTGTTACTATTTTTAATTTCCTTGGTTTCATTCTCAGATATAAAGAACGAACAGATCCCTAATCCCTAAAACGATTAGTGCATGCTTCGGTGACCAGAGCGAAGAAGCTTCTCGTTTCGGAGGTTAAAGTCCGGATCGACCAATGTGAAAAGCACCACTGAAATCCAGCGTCGAAAATATGCTGCAAATGAGTATCAGTTTGTAAATTTCTGTAGCTTGCGCTGCGAAATCCCCGCATGCGCACAAAACTACAAGAAAGACGCAGTTTGGGTTTATATTGCGCGTTTGATGCGCAGATAAGGTCGCAAAAATTTTTTCTTGTCTAATCTATTCCTACAACGGCAACATGAGAATTGGATAAAGTCGAAAAAGTGCAAATAAATTTCACAGTTGAAAAATTCTGCACAACAGCATTAGATATTCGAAAGTAACATAAATAATTATGCCTTACCTTTTGCCACGAGCTTGCGAGCAGGATAATGTACTTGATCAGCGTCGGATGGTTGGTTTTTCAGGATGTGAATCACTTCTAGATTTGAACTGGTATTTAACTGTCGTGCGTAAGGGGCGGACCATTTGATTCTTGATGGGGAAGGGGAGTGAGTGGGAGGGGGAGGGGGCGGTTAGATTTTCATTGAGCCCAATAATATTTTAATGCTCATCTTTGTCGTTCAAGGCTCTTGTATGACTTTCTTATTTCGTGCTCTTGCATGGGGCGTCCATGACCAGAAATTCATAAAATAAAAATAAGTAAATCAGTAAATAATTCATATCCTACTGAGCTTTATACTATTTTTAAACCAGTTTCACAAGTTCATTCGCGTAACCTTAGAGGCAGTTCAGTGAGAGGCATAATGTTCTATTAACGTCACCAAACAGGAGATCGTTGACCATGAAAGACAAAACATGTACCAAATGATTAAATTCTGAGAGGACTGGGATATTATGTAATATCCTAACCATTACATAACTTCGCCCATCCATCGCATGATGCCCTTTTTAAAAAACAGAAATGCCACGTGAATATGGGACCTGCATCAACTCCAATCACCATCTTTTGTAAAGCCAATTTTCCACTTCAATCCTATCAAAATGTAGCGTATTTCTTTGTCTGAGCGGTAGTCGGGAACTAATGACTTCGACACTTGAGAACATGCAGTGGAAAACTAGCTGTCTTTACGAAGCAGGTCATATGTTTTATCACGTTTTACGACAAGAAAAGCATGTCCTATTTATAGTGCCACCAGAAGGAGATATGTCGAACATGTGCCGCATCCTTATTAAAATTTTTAGATATCCGACAGGCACAGTAGCAGCCAGGCGATTTACTCCCGCTATGCAAATATTTTCGTGTTCATTGACTATGAAAACAATCAATTTCTAAAGAAATGATTAATGATAATAATTTTGAATTTGCACAGCGGGACTAAATTGTCGAGCTGGCTACGCCACTGATCAGGCACGTGAACGTGAAATGGAGCGAACAAAACTCCCATCACTTGTGTTAGTTATTAATGCTGCTCGTCGCATGACCACGTTATGTTTGCACGAGGCAGGCCATGTGTTTTACGACAAGATCTAAGTACTATCTCTGAAAATATCAGATATAAACACAACACGGCACAGCTCGAGTGTTTTATATTTTAAGAAAGATCCATCCGATAGTCGAGTTCATTGCCGAAGTAATTTTAAAACTAAATGTTGTATAATCCGAGAAAATAAAGCTAAAGTTTATGTAAATGAACATGACTTTTTCCGTCTTTTTCTCATGAATTATTAAGGAGTTTTCTAAGCATGCATAATGTCCCACGAAAGAGGTGATAATTAAAATTATCGGATATTACGTAACGATTATATAACGTCCCTTGCATAGCCATAGGACTCGATCCCATGATGCCATGCTTTTCAATTTTCAAAGAACAGGAATCTTGGATCTTTCCTATGTGGACTCGTCTGCTCCATCTTGGAGGAGACGGCAACATAGGAAAGATCCAAGTTATACCCACCGCCTTCCATTCTCTTGGCAAACATATAGTTCTTATATTAGTAGTTTCACATATCTGAGATAGCCCTGCGCTCAACTGACGTGCGACAAAATTCCTGTCCTTTACAGAGGCTTCCCATACTGGGTATTACCAGCCAAATAAGTATCCCTCTTCCCTATTTTGAAGATGGCCTGTTGTGATTGGATTATACTGTAAATAAGGCAGCCAATCAAATTGCGTACTATATATCGAATCCTCGGAACGAACTTCGTAACGAATTTCGGAAATTTGCCACAAACATTCAGAACTCGTATCGAAAGAAAAAACAGGGGAAGATTTTTCACACGATTTTGTTTCAATGAGACGTTTGGTTGGTGTCTTTGCGTTGTCGCTCTCCACACTTAAACTGTGTAGTGCTAATGCAATGAAGAACAAAAACTACAGCAATAAACACAATTGCTCCAAAAACTTTATTAATTAAAGCATCATTCCACTTACATTAAGCATAATTCCACTTACATATATTAAGCATCATTTCTCTTACACTGAACTTATATTCCTCAAACTACTGGACATTCCCAATAGTTGATAATGCAATCTCGATAATCTTTGCCATCGTCGTCGTCATCGTCGTCGTCGTCGCGATGTACATGAGAGTATCGAGGCTTCAACGGGTACTTTGCCTTAGTTTTCCCAGTACAAGCACACACGTACTCGCCATTTTGTAATCGGTACAAGCTCCCTTCTGCCGCGTTGTGCGAGGAGCAGGACCCTCCGATTATTTGGTAATTCTATAGAAGAAGATACAAGGCCGTGATCAACACACAAGAACATGCCAATAATAGCTGAGATAGATCAGAAATACGATTGTTTCACGAAACGTAGTTTATTGACAACTGTTTCAGTCATTTTGGCTCGATTTACATCGAATATTTGACATAACTGTTTAAAAAATGAGACTACTTTCCTCCATATACAAATACACTCTTCAACTGCATATTATACAGTACACTAGAGCAGAGGTACTCAGGTAGTGATTTTCAGTACCACTCGTTATAGTTGAACTTTGCATAATATGCGCACCTATTTGATTGCGTTTCCCTATATAAATGTTCGCGCACGCCCACATACTTGAACTTTTCTGAGATCAAGGAACATTAAACGAATACCGAATGATTTTCCGTGCAGGATTGCGTGATCCATGCACGAGGATTGTCGCGAGACTTATTTATTTATTTATTTATTTATTTATCTATTTATTTATTTATTTATTAAACTTTGCCAAAAACACGTAACAGAACAGCACTGAAATAGACATCTAGACAATAAACATGGACAAGAATGGCAGGGACACCACAACAGTGTAAACCAATTACTGTGGGCCCTTTATACAAAAATACACATACAGTACAGAACATATAACATACAGTACATGAACAGGAGACTAAAAACAACAAGTTAGTTTAGAACTTTCGGAAAGCGTAAAAAGAAGTCGAGCAACATCCCAAAAGTGCATGGATCACGCTACCCTGCTTGGAAAACCATTTGGTAATTGTTTTATAAAATAACTACAGTGAAACAATGACATTTTGAGAATCCCGCGAAAATCCCGCGAAGGCATTTTAATTCCTCGTCAATAGCCGTGCAGGATCAGGCTATCCTGCACCAATCAAATTGCGTGTTTCACTGTAGTTATTATATAATATTTCTTACCTGACTGGCTCTAGCGTAGACGTACACGTATCTATAATCCTTCTGCCTTGCTCCGACTGTCTTAGTCTTAAAACGACATTGTCGTAAAGTATTCGCACAATCCTGCCCGGGTGGACCTCTGGGACCTTGTTCTCCGCGAGGGCCCTGGACACCAGTTTGTCCTGGGGGACCTTGAACACCTCGTACACCCCGAGGTCCTTGAGATCCCTGCGCTCCAGTCTTGCCAGGTGATCCATCTTTACCATTCACCCCTGGTGCTCCTCGTGCCCCTCTCGGTCCCTCAGGCCCCACAGGTCCTCGTGGTCCTGGTGTCTGTGACTTCGTTGCATTGACTTCCTGGAAATAGAGATGATATCATATCGTATGCTTTCGTTTGTGTAAACGTTTATTTGATGCGGCTGCAGGAAATAGAACTTTTACATATATTTCGCCTCATTGACATATGAGAAGAGTTCTTTCAGCTGCACTCTGCCAAAGAGATAGATAGATAATTCGTTTATTCAATATAAAAACACTTTGCAGACAAAGACTGAATTACGTGAATATTTATAATCTCCACTTTGGGATACTTTAACAAAACACTGAAGGATAAGTTACAAAAATTTCAAAATCGGACAGCTAGACACTCGGGGAAAAAAAGTGAAATCCATACTATGAAATTTGCAATTGCACCACTAAATCCATAAGTATATCCATACTATTTCGAAACTATGTCCATTCTATGGAAATGTACAATTATTATGGATAACCAAAATCCATTCTATTTCCAATAAAGGTCCATACAATTTCCATTCTGTGACCTTCTATGGATTTTCAAAATTTTTTCCAGTGAGAATAATAGCGGGTGCTAGCTATATGAGATCAGGTCTGCGGACGTTCTTCGGGCTCTTGAATGGGAAAATTTAGATTCCTGACGAGGTATGAGCAAGTTTGAAAGAGTTAACATTGAACAGGGGGGAGGGGGGTTATGTTACAATCTCACCCTAACCGGTCCACGTATTTTGTCACTAATTGTACCTTCTGGATTACTCAACTGATAAAGCTTGCCAGTATGGCTAAAGTTCATAAAAATATTGCACATTATACCTTGATGAGCTGTTCGAGATACTTGATCTGAAGCTCAAACGTATCTTTAACCTTCTGAATCGCGGCAAGTGATTTCTTCTCTAAAGCAATAATCTGAATTTATGTTAAAAAAAAAGAGGAAAGCATTTTATGATAATTTCTGCGCACACCGATGACCCATTCAGACAAATATTATTCATGCTATTTACCGTCGACTCCAGCGTATTTACACGAGCTTTTAAAGCATTCAGTTCCTATAAATATACAGAAAGTAAATGTGTGTACACGGATATTTTGATATAGGAAATGTGCACAGCGAACTTTACTGAAGTAGTGAAGTATCGCAATCAACACAGCAACATCAACAACACGGCAGCAACAACAATAGCAGTCACAACAGCAGCAGCAACAACAACAGCAGCCTAGCAGCAGCAGCAACAACATTAACAACAAAAATAACAACAATTTTGACTTTCTCAAAATAGAATTTCTTACATTGTCAAACTAGTTCTGAAGAACAGTTACAACCACGAAAACTGTAATTCCTATCGTTATTCCAGACAAGTGCAATGCAGCACCTCTCCTCCCCCCCCCCCTGCCCGAATTTCATTGGGGAGCACCAGAGGAGCACGTACTGACGTATGGTTGTTTGAAGACACTGTTTTATAAGGCATTTTACACTATGTCAGTGATTGTCATACGATGTTCATATAGATTCGTCAAAGTATCATATAGGTATAATCCAGGGTTACCAGATTGCTGAATAAATAAGTCAAATATTATTATCACAACCTTTTGTTTTCTTTGTTCGAAACAAAGACGTCGAAGGGCCGTTTATAATTAACAATGTTTGGCTTATTTATTTAGCAATCTGGCAACCCTGGTATAATCTCAAATACCTTTGTATCAATCTTTCCAGGTGGGCCAGGGTCCCCTTTTTCTCCCTTGGGTCCATCTTTACCATCCCTACCATTCACTCCGTTTGTTCCATCTCGTCCTGCAGGTCCCACGATGCTCTGTCCATCTTTACCATCCCGACCCAGACGTCCTGGCTGACCGTCACGACAACCGCAGCCGTTAAATACAGATGGCTCAGGTTCGTAGAAAATATGCACCTATGTATAAATATTATAATTTATGTACGTACATTCAAGTAGACGCGCATGCAAGCCCGTACATAATCATGTGGTGAATTTTAGAGACCATGTCAAGTCCGTAATGTAAACAAATCCTTTGTTTACATTTTGCCGAACTGCTATATTTGTAAAATAAGACATACTAACTGAATATCTAACACTTTTCTGGTTCGCAATTGTAAACGAATATAAACTAGAGTACGTTTCAATTCAAAAAAGTTCGAAAGATGCAAAATTTGGGCAATGTTTACATCTGTGGGTCCCCCTTTGTTATGAGCAGAACTGATGTGCAGAACGGACTTGACATGGTCTTAAAGTATACCGACACTCTGCCGACACTGCAAACATTTTGACTCGAAAATTTGCCAAGTAATTCATCCACTGACCCAAAATATCGAGTAAAATTACTCGCATTTGTGGTCAAATTTATACCCAAGCCCCAAACTGACCCTTCGACCGTAACTGTGCTCCCTGATCAGACATGAGTTACCAGAGAGCCTTCACTGAACTCGATCACGGGTTGAATTGCGTCCTCGGCAATCAACTATACATGTAAGGATGAGTAGTACACGGCCAAACCCGGTCAAATTGTTGAATGGAACACAAAACGTTTGGGCTTCGGACCTATCTGACCGGAACTGAATTTAGATAAAAATAGAATGAGGTCCACTTTCGCTAGCCATATTTGAAAAACATAGACCAGATCTTTCCATCGATACAGATGCAAAAATTCGGGTCTGAACGGTCAGGCCATTAAATGGAAAGCGCCCTTATTCACCTAATTTTGGCAGGTAGTCCCAAAACGCTTTTCGGCAGTTAATGCAACTACACGAGTATAGAAAAAATCTCCTAAACAATTATTATACATGATAACTTACATCTGAATTCTCTCTATCTGTGAATTCTTTCCATTCCGAGGCCAAGCTGTACGACACGCCAAATAAAACTAAAACTGTACAAGACAATTTAAAAATCAACATTGCTTCTTTAATATCTTGCCTGAGCGGTTTTCCCGCTGTAAAATTTATAGTCCAATTTTTTCGCCCAACAACGTATAAATTTGGAGAGTGAACGAAAAACACTGAGATCTGTCCAGCTGTGCTAACAGAAAAAAGCCGGAAGGACGTTGTTTTAATCAAACCTGGATCAACAATTAAAACTAGCTGAAAAAAGATGTCAAGCAAATGATAAATAAAATTTGATGGACGTTTGTTCAATTTTTCCATGCAAATGAAAAAGTAATTATAAACTGCATTGGCTACAAAATAAATAAAAATATATTTATACAGCAGGATAGCTCTTCAATTTCGAACATCACTTTTCTTATAGACCGCTTGATTGAAGTTCTTGCTCTGGACTGCCCAACGATTTTTATAACTCGCGTACTTTGTGGCTTTGAACTGTCTTTGCCAGTGTAGGTAGTGCCAATCAAATGAACAAGCTTTCGTTGGTAGGGGTGCAACTACCTGAAAATATATAAGGAGAATTTCGACGTTTCGAGTGAAGACCCTTGCCTGGAGTTACTATGGAATAACTTACTGTAGAGTGTGGAATAGCATTTCTGACGTTGTCAATGCTGATCTCGACGCTTTGTGGAATTGTGGCTCTCGAAATCGCCTCTTTTTACAATCGGTAGCCTGCTCGCAGCCTGACTGAAATTTCCAGTTAGAAGGAGAAAATTTCAGGCTGCGAGCAGGCTATACAATCGGAAGCCATGCTTCTTTCCAAGGCGAGCAAATAGGCTCTAGTCTAAGACGAACACACCTTCGCTGCTTGTATTGTCATGCATAGGGTTTAACCTGATTGACAACTGACGTTTGCGACCCGCAGATAAAGAATTAATATTTTTGCGCGAAACATGCATGGACTTGCGTACATGTTCACAGCAGTTGGCAAAACGCCATGTCACTACGTGATCGAAATTCTTCAGAAACAAAGGTTTCAGGTTACACGTCCAAAAGAAACCACTGTCAGCACACATAATAAGAGCTTGCCTGAAAATCAAACATATTTTGACTAGAACAGAGTTCAATTTCAAATCATGAAGTCAACATTAACATTCCTGGCTGTCTATGGCTTTCTGCTCGGAGTGGCGCAGTCTGCAAGCATAACATCACCAGATCGCGCAGATGCGAAATCCATCTCGGACTGTCAGTCATGCGAATATATCATGAGATTTATTCGTTTTCAAACTCTGAATCAAGCTCAGTCTGTGGACGATGTCAAAGAGAAGATAAAAGCTCTCTTCAAGATCATTCCATCCTCTGTACAGGTATATAGGGCAAGTTTTGTATATTTTGCTTGCAGCGCAGTTTATGCTAATTAGACGCGCATTTACTTCCGTGCTTTATTTACGACAAAAGCACAACCACCAATTCTGGAACTGGATCATACTATTTATATTTGAAACGCAAATAACTCTTTAAGTTCTTGAGATTTAGACTTTTCAAACTGGGGGTTCTGCGCTTGCTCCTCTCACTATATGTCGACCAAGTGACCTTCATTGGCCTTTCTAAAAGTCACAAAGCTTGAAAACATCACAATCCCACCATCTTCAGACTCGTGCAATTTTCAGATACAAGCTTTCAAAATATCTGGGTTTTTTTCCAAATTGTATAGGCTTGAGACCATGCTATTTTCCCGTACAAATAATTTTTATCAAAACACAAGCAAAAATTGTGTTTGTTTTTACCCAAAAAAACGAATTGTATTCAATAGAATGATGAATACTTATCAAATGTCGAGAAGTATGTCCGGATGATCCGCAATGGAAACGATCCGCAAAGCATTTGCAAAGCCATGTCCAAGTGCTCGACCGAGCAACTTGGGTTGCCACGCATCACCGAATGTCAAGTGTGTACTGTTGTGGTTGATCTTATCAAGTTTGAATTAACAATCAGCAATGCTACAGTTCAGTTTATTATCAAAGCTGTTGAAGAATTGTGTGCCATATTGGGCGATGTACCCGTCTACAATGAGGTATGTACCTACTTTTAGCGGGGGGCTCACCTTCCGGGCCCACGTAATATCTCGCCTCGGGGTGGGAAGAAATTATGTAAACAGGGCGTTTTCGAAATAAGGTCTACTGATGTTTAGGTTTTGTTTGTATTTTCCAACAAGTGTGCCGTTCAGTACAATATTATAGGTCAAAATCGGCAAAAATGCCCATCCCGGTGAGGTGGGATAAATTGTATGTTGGGTAATTAGAGCTGTGCCCGTATTTGAGAGGTGTCTGAGGTGGCTCCTGATTTGCATAAACGTTTTCCTCAGTTTTCTCAGTTAAAAATAATTGTTATAAAAATAATTTCTTGCAAACACAATTGTTGAAATCCTTACGTTCCACAAGCTATATACAGCATTCGCGTGTTGTATCAGACATACAACCTCTCTCTAAACTTAATGGGGGATTTATAATAACGCTCTTGACTTGTTACCATGTATATACTCTTCGTTTTTTTAGTGCAAATTGATATTGAAAGAGATAAACCAGATAATCCAATGGATTGAACAACAGCTCACACCGACAGATATATGTGTTCGACTTGGATTTTGTAACAAGACCATGGACATCTCAACATCTGATTATATCAAAACGCAACTAAGCAAGAATTCATCGAACATGTTCTGTGATCTGTGCATGATGGTGGTAAACACGCTGGACAATGTGTTGAAAAAGATTGACAGCAGCCTGGATGACGCAGAGGATGAGTTGGATGATATTTGTAGTATGTTGGGAGATCTCGCTGACGAGGTTGGTAAAGGTATTTGGTATCACTATCAATCACAAAAACCGTGTAACATAAATGATTATTTATTTTGGGTAGTTCTATCAGCCCCCTAAACCGTGCTTTCCAGAGTACAGTAACTCCGGTTTTCCACTATTCACTAGGTCTGGGCGAATTTGATCGCAGGAAGCGCCGCACGTCAGTAGGGTTGGGCGATATTAAAAAAATCATCTCACGATTATTGTCAAGGAAATTATCACGATATTCGATAATATCGCGATAAATGCAATAAAAACAATGACCACATTTTTCAATTTTAATTAATATCATTGTATAGTAAGCTTATATATATAATCTTATTAAAAACAAGTAAAACAACAAATTAAAGAAATATGAAGGATTTTTCTAGTCTAATATTTACTCTTCATAAAGCAGAACTGAGCAGAACTGTCTATGCAGTGTCTACTGTGTCTCCGCTGGCACAAATACTGTGGCCACCACAGCGCAAGAAAAGCCTGCAATTCCATTGTTCAGCAGATTATAAATGTTAGCTTTTGTATCGTATTAAATTCGTTAATTCAGGAAACAGTTTTAATTCTTTTAAAAACTATATTTTCTAGGGAACTGAAAGAATTTTTTAGGATTTTATAACAGCTATATACACATGTGAAGCAATATCACGATAGTCATCGAGCATGACGATAATTTCGATATATCGTCGCTCAAGTTTCTGCCTTCGATACGATCATCGTGATTGAAAATATCGCGATAAATCAAAATATCGAAATATCGCCCAACCCTACACGTCAGCATGGCGACAAAGGAAAAAGTCGAGGGAACAAATTCCCCCAGTGGGAAAGTAAATTAGCTTTATTTACCGATTGGATATATCTAAACTACTCTCCATGGAGATGCAGTTAGGGTCCATGGGCTTCAATGTTACTACAAGAGGAAATTAGGAAGGGTCTAGAGGGGCATTAAGCATTAAACTTTTTGGTCTCGTAATACTTAATTCGGAATATTGTAACATTAAAATCATAACGTGTAGAGAAAGAGTACGGTTTAAATTTCTCTAATATTAAACAATGAAATTTTAGATTTAAACACTTTAGAAAAAAGTAAAAAACCTTACCAGTATACTCGGAGAAAACCAGCTGCCTTTGGTGGTCAAACTGTACGGGACGAACTACAGGGTAGTGTTTAGAATGTGTCTTAATTCATTGGTTTGATAAGCCCACTGTTCTCATGCCATCTACTCAATGCAAAGAGCCATACTATTCCTCTGATAATGGCTCTCAAATGAGTCCCTTTATGATTTAGTGCAAATCTGTGGTTGACATGGTCATTGACGAACTGAAGAAAAAGATGGAATACATTGAGACGAAACTGGATCCTTCAACAATGTGCAAGGCATTGCATCTTTGTCCTTCCTCTCTTACGAAGGTTTAAAATCATTGAAAATTGACGACTAAGAATTCACTTTTTTTTGCATCACCACTTTACCGTGATCGGCGTAGAAGCATGATAGAAGTACAGTGATTAAAAATTTTGCTATTTTAGTTAAGTAATCGGGTTATTAATTGCGGTATGGAACGAAAACAGTGAAGTGATATTGAACAAAGGTTTGTAACTTAATTGTAATCTACAGTATAATAAAAATAGAAAACATAATGATTCATGCGGACTAACTTTAAATAAAACTTTCAACTGCTTTTGAAGGGATTTTCATTAAAACGTTTGTAGTTCACAGCGACATTTAGATGTGTCTTTATTCTAATATTAATTCAATTAAATTAGTAACATTATTCTGAACCATATATTGTGGTGATGTACTGTACTACTTGGGTCTTGTTAATGTTTAGCAATTTCTTTAACAACCTGTTGAACAATATACAAAAATAAGTTCTTTGTATGTTTGCATGGCGATAAAATATAATGGTTTTGTTTGTGGAAACACCACGTAAAAAATTGTAGTAATAAATATAGTAATAATAATAATATATATAGTAATATTAATATAATTGTAGTAATATATATTAATACGTTTTAATTGTAGTAATAAATATACTGTTTATTGCAGTAATAAATTTACGTGGTGTTTCCACAAACAAAACCATTAATATACAAAAACTTGAAAATGGGATTCTAGTATAGGGAACGCCGAACAATATTTCGAAGACGTGTGAAGTATCAAACTTGAGGTAAAAAATGTTTCCATTACAGTAAACAGAATGGATACTGCATGATTATGAAGTTTAATGTTCCATCAGGGACTTTTATACTGTATATGTTAATTTTGACCCTTATATGGCTATAACTATATTTCTCAGGTGGTTAGACTTTTCAACCAGGCCAAAAAAAATATGTGGGTTTCCTATTTCTTCTTGTAAAAACTTAGGTTGGGTAGATCGGTTTTAACTTTTTTTTTTAACTTTTTTTTTAATTTTCCTAACAACCGAACACCATTTTGTTTAGTCAGTGCTTCCACATTCAAAGATAAATTTCCCTAATATTGCCTCAAATTTCCATTTTTCACAAACGTTTTCCTCTAAGTGGAAACACTTACAAGCATGATCCAATAAAAAAGTTTAGGGTCTGGATTTCGGCATCCAAAACTCCAAAAGCTAGATAGGGTCGGGAAACCCACATATTTTTTTTTGACCCCACCATCATGAATATTTGTAATTCAGGCATGTTTAACTCGAACTACAACCATTATTGCATCCATGTTTTAAAGTCACTGTTTTACGACTGTGAATGTGGAAAGTTCTTCTTTATCCAGTGCTGTGAGATCAAAACCTTTTGGTGCTTTAGAACCTACAAATTAAAAGAAGTCAAAGAAAGAAAATGATTTTCACTTTGTCTCAAAATGTCTAAACTACCAGAACTAAAGAGAGAATGCTATTCTTGAGAATCAAAATGCTAAAGAACCACTACTATCACTTTAGTAGTATACTGATACTATCACCTTAATATGTGAGGGGTATTTTACAGTTTACTGTACGAAGTAGTGCAAGTATTGATGGTGTGTATCTCATGGTAAGTTTTTCTATTCTTTTATGGTGTTTTTTGATGATGTATGTATTCAGTGATTATCCAGTTATGGTAAAGTGTAAAATGTCATATGTGAGTTATCCCAACCCTACCTACCAACCTTCCAGCTGGTGTAACTTTGACACTTTTATCTTCAAGCCATCTCTTACATTCTTTATTTCGGCATCTAATTCTTCTTGATCTAATGAAATTTTTATTTAAAAATGCTGTGATTATTACTATGTATAATATAGAGATATGATAAAATGCAGAATTCGTTTCATGTATACCTTTTGAAAGTATCTCAGAGACGTTTGCAGTGGGGTATTTGATAAACATGCCCCCTAAACACATCCAAGACTTGTTTGAACTGGTTTCACCTATATAAATGAATGAATTTGTTCAGCTTGCCAGTTCATAACTCAAGACCAAAGGCAGAGGAATTTTGGAATGGTGTTTCATATAGCAGCTCTTTTGGAGGTTAAAACCTTAAAGAGCAAATCAAACATTGATCCAAAGAAAAGATATACAAATTTATGTACACCTTTGCATTTCTTCAAAGCATTCAGAGCTTCTCTATTTGTATTTCTCCTGTGATCAAGATTTTTGATCTACAAATTAATGAAATTTACAAGTTATTTTCATCAGTATACATATTCACAAATGTAAAAAATGTAAAAAAGTTCAATTGTCGCTTTTACGCTTTATATATACTTGTTCTTTGTCGGCCATAATCTCTTCTGCTAGTTCTTCGATTTCTGAAAGATTTACCAACATAGTTCCTGTTAAATTTACGTCGTTGGGGTCCATTTATGAACATTTTCATACACTAAAAAACCCCATTTGTTTATATTTTTGTTGACATATTTCGAAAGATGTGGCTGTTCGCGCTGAATGGTAACAACCCTGCCTCGTACCCAGGCCACAGAGTAGATAAGACATACAGAGACGTAACTGACCGTTGTAAACACTGCGGAAGATTACGTTATCATGTACCCACGTTTTTTCAGGCGACCGGTCGAAAAAATGATCAACTGCGCGTGCTCGGCAAGTTTAAAGTGAGTCGTCATCAGGTCGTCATCCAATCAGATGCATGCATCTAGTAACTTGCCGAGCACGCGCACAAAAAAAGTGGGTACACTAGTTACGTCTCTGTATGTCTCTACTCTGTGCCCAGGCGCTTACATGAAGTATTCAGGTAGGCATCCGACGCGCGAAGGGGCTGTTGGGAAGGGTGCGTGCTGGGTGCACTCTTCCCATCAGCCCCTTCGCCATCTCTCCCCACTACAATACTTCATGTAAACACGTCATATGGGCATCACTGTTTTTTTACAAAGAGACGCCTGGGTACGAGGCAGGGTAACAACCACTGAGCTGGTAACAACCACTGAGGTAACAACCTAACAACACGTCGTGCTTCCATTTTCACTAACTAACTTTCTGTTCTGACTATTATCTATTCTGTGCCATGGGTACAGAATAAAGATCAGTACCAGAAGGGCCACTCAGCGGTGCAACCACTGAGGGTGCAACGTGTCACCATTTTTCTATGCAAAAACTAGACTTGCTCCAAGTAATTGTATGTAACGTACAATATAGATGTACAATATATAGATGTCCACAAAGAGAGACTTGGAGCAAGTCTATGCAAAAACATGCAGTTGACTGGCCAGAAGGCGGGGCCTTCAGCCAATACAGCGCGTTTATTGGCCAGAAAATGTAATCGACTGGCTAGGAAGATGGCGGCCAGGGGGCCCTTCTGTGTGCCTTATTCTGTGCCATGGGCACAGAATACTACACCACAGAATAGATACTGGACCAGAAGTGTCACTCAGACGCAGTGCTCACTGCTCAGACGATATTTTTCCGAACTTTTACGAGTGCTGACGTGAAAATACGCCATCATATCACGCCATCCTGGAGTGCACACGGAAGTTTTTCATAGGCCAAGCACAGCCTCGTACCCAGGCGCTAAAAATGGGCACACTACAGTGTTTTTATATAGATCAGTGGCGCGACCACCCCCGCGCGCCACTGAGGTTCACTCATAGGGGTCTCTATGGGTTCACTGTCACTGACTCGTCCCCAGGCGCTAATTAAAAATTTCATGCGAGTCACTATATGAAAGATTTACATGAAGTAGTGCATCGCGATGAACAAGCGCAGGGGGTTATGGGCTTGAGTTCCCACTCCCCTTTGCGCGCCTAGAATGTGACGCACTACTTCATGTAAACCTTTCATATAGTGACTCGCATGAAATTTTTTTTATTAGCGCCTGGGGACGAGGCAGGTTATTATACAGCTCAGTGGCTACAAAACAAAACAAAAAACATGGACGAGTTTTCTCCTGGCGAGAAAAGATTGTAAGAATAACTGTGCATAGTACAGCTAGTTTCTATATTTTTGTTTTAATTTATACTAGAGAGGTTATACTTCTGGTTTATTTGTTCAGGCATTCCGAGAAAAATTCCAATGTTTCCAAAAATTCGTCCAAAAAGTACCAATTAAGAGCTGATGTGAAGCAAAAGATTAAACAACGATTGCATCGAGATAAACCCAAAGAGGATTGCACTAACAACCGTACAGGTACTGGATATAAATCCTATAATGTATTAAAGGTCTTATTCAGGTGTTATATAAGGGGAAATATCCATGTCATGATGTCATGCATAAAAAACCAATTATATGGTATATATAAATTACGAAGTGACTATATGACCGGCAGCCGGTCACGGTTTATAATAACCTGAGTATCAGGCTCTATTTTACAAATAGAGCCTGACACAAAACTTAACCTGATCGCTTTCCGCCCACAGCAAAGTTTATATTTAGTATCCAATCAAAATGTCGCAGGAGAAATTTAAATTTAACACAACGACAACAACAATCTAATTATAGCATAGCAGCCCACTATTAAAACGGCTGAATTTAAATTAAAACTGCAATGAACTTATAAAATTAACAAAAATGATCACAAATTAGCGAAATATATTGCAAATGTAGCTTATATTAAATCGCCACCCGATTGCTCTCTCTTCCGCAGAGGTTTCAGTGACTACAATGAGCTTTACATGGCGCTTGCCGTATTTATCAACAAACAGTGACGTATAATTACAAAGTATATATATTAAGTATACTTTATAACTATACGTCAGTCGATAGTGCAATCTGATGGCGAGTTAATATAAGCTACATTTGCAATATATTTTGCTAATTTGCGATTATTTTCTAATTTTACTGCAGTTTTAATTTAAATTCAGCCGTTTAGTGGGCCGGCTATAATTGTAGTTGTGATCGTTATAAAATATATCAACAACAATAGTATAATCTAATTAGCACCAGCCAATCAAATGACAGATTTAAAAATCGTTTGTCTAATCGGCCAATCAGCGATCAGTCCAGATTCTGGACTGAACAACCAGGCAAAATGCCACTTTTGTGTCAGGCCGTACTTTTCTCCCTTTCGCCCACGATCAGGCGTGCCTGTGCCCTAAAAAGTACGGCCTGATACTCAGGTTAGGTTTATAAAATACTAAATGGCTGGCAGTCTAGTGACTATTGTTAAAGTTTAATTTTTATAAGATAAACCTATCCCAACCCCAAACCCGGCTAAATTGCAGAATACCCGTCCACTAGTTATATCATATCATGTAGCCACTATTTCACTGGATACGCGGATACGCGGTCAGTACTTGTTATAGTATAATATTTCAGATAGATCAAATTCTCATGTTACAGGTAGCTATATATAGTTAAGCGATCAAAAATGGTCAGCGGATAACTGGTTGACTGTGTATCCGCGTATCCACTAAAATATAGAGCTACCTATATATAGCATGAGAATTTGATCTATTAATGCTAAACTCACTGTATGCATGCCTCGTTCTCAAAATAACTAACTCACTGCGTATCCACGTATCCGCGTATCCACTAAAATATACAGCTATATATATAACATGAGAATTTGATCTATTAATGCTAAACTAACTGTATGCCTCGTTCTCAAAATTACTCGTCGACTGCGTATCCACGTATCCGCGTACCACTAAAATATGTAGCTACCAATATAGCATGAGAATTTGATCTATTAATGCTAAACTCACTGTATGCATGCATCGTTCTCAAAATAACTAACTCACTGCGTATCCACGTATCCGCGTATCCACTAAAATATACAGCTATCTATATAACATGAGAATTTGATCTATTAATGCTAAACTGAATGTATGCCTCGTTCTCAAAATAACTAACTCACTGCGTATCCACGTATCCGCGTATCCACTAAAATATGTAGCTACCAATATAGCATGAGAATTTGATCTATTAATGCTAAACTCACTGTATGCATGCCTCGTTCTCAAAATAACTAACTCACTGCGTATCCACGTATCCGCGTATCCACTAAAATATACAGCTATCTATATAACATGAGAATTTGATCTATTAATGCTAAACTAGAACTGTATGCCTCGTTCTCAAAATAACTAACTCACTGCGTATCCACGTATCCGCGTATCCACTAAAATATACAGCTACCTATATACCATGAGAATTTGATCTTTAATGCTAAACTAGAACTGTATGCTTCCTTCTCAAAATAAAACCTGATGTAATTGGTCAGCTGATTAAAACATCGTATCCACGATGTTTGAAAGGCATAGCTTAAAAAATGGACGGGTATTCTGCAATCGCTCCCCAAACCCTTTTCTAACCCTAACCCCTAACCCTAACCTTTTGAGAGTTAGAAAAGTCGGGAAAAAAAGTTTAAAAAATTTTAAGAAAAAACAATGCTAAGTCAGACAAAACACATCGCGACCACGACTGCGCTTAACTTTCCGCACCCAGCGCCCCTGCCGTATGGCTAGCGGTAAGCTCGGTAAAAGTTAACGCAAACAAAAGTTTTTATATTCAACTATAGTCACTAGACTGCCGGCCATTTAGTATTTGATAAACCGTGACCGGCTGCCGGTCATATAGTCACTTTGTATAAATTAATATAATGATTTGAACTGTCTGTGCCTGACAATAAGGCGTAAAAAAAATACCTGTGGTTCCGGTTTCATATCATGAAAAAATTAGGGTCGGTAGGTTGGAAATAATTTTTTTTTTCAATATTTTTTTCATGGTTTTGGCGGTTTTTTACTGGGCGATTTGCAGTAGAGTCCCGACATCAATATTAACTAGAGATGCGTATTTCCTATGGACGAATTTAGGCAATTTGGTCACTGACCTGTGAATTTGGTTCAATAATTAGTGTGACAACAGATCGCCATTTTGGCACGCTGTATGAGCAGCCCGCAACCTTGGAAATGTCTTGGAAATTTTTACGCTTTACTGTACCCAAGCAATCAATGAACGCATACTCCATCAAACAGTGCTGTAATGTGCCCTATCTCCTAATTTAATTTTAAAATACACATCAGATTGTGCATTGTGTGTAATATTTTATTCAAGGTATTACATTACCAACTGCTAATACTGGGAGAAAAAACCTATCAAAATGTAATACAACAATCAACAAAGGATCATGCATAGCTAAGGTTGCTGAAAAATTATGGAATATGAAAAGAAACCCACATTTATATAATGAAAAATATCCTTTTTATTTATGCGACAGGTAATACTGTTTACATCTTCATTGTACCCAGGGCCTCTGGTGCCATGGAGATGTCAGCCTACAAATTGACATACCCATATGTGATATGGTCCAAAAATTTAGTGAAAGTTTCCATGATATTAATGGTGTGCAGCATATAATAATAAGGAATATTAGAAAAAAAATTCAGTCTGTCAAAATTAGAATTTGTACCTCAAAACTGTATAAACAAAACTTCTTTTCTCTCGCATGCATTTTGATCTTTGCCTTTAAAAATACAGCAACTTATCTTACTCTGAATATGTTATAATATCAAGTCTTTTATAAGATAAGGTCCATTTCCAATAACATAAAACTATATAATATTTTCCTTGACTGTTTATCATATTCGTGTATGCTGGTCGTGTTCCGTGTTTTCTGAAGCGAAACATAAAGAAGGTTGACAAGGAGAATAGAACAAGATACACAAGACCGATTAAACGTAAAAAGTCCAGTACCTTATTTCGCAATAGAAAAGCTAAAAAGTCCACAAAAGAATTTTACTTTAGGTTTATTAAGCATAAAAATTCCAAACGTCCTGCTAGCGGATGGATTGACAATGACCGGGTTAAAAGATTATGTTTAGAGCCACAGGATAGCCATGGTAAGCCTGGTGGAAGAATTGGCAAGGATCCAGCTAAAACTGTTAAACATCTTGCTGATGGAAAGACGGATAATGAGAGACTATGTAGAAACCTACAAAAACAGACAGTGGAGAAAACAGATAAACATAATCGTCACAATGATTACCCTAACTCGTTTTCAATCCAAAAAGATTCTGACTCAGTCTTCGAGTGTGATTCTAATACAGAAGAATTTTCGCCCCAGACTGAAGAAATTTTGACTGATGCATTAAACGATCGAGAAGAGTCCAGCCATGAAAGATATGTGTTGAATAGTGGCTCTTACGTGATTCAAAGTAACCAGTCAAGAACGATCAACCAGGAAAGTTTGAGCTTGGAATTTAAGGAGAGCCAGAGGATTTGTAAACCAACATCGTCTGAACTGTCGGATAAAGAAAATGAGTTTTTTCCAAAAGGTTGGTATCCAAAACACTGTGAATCGAAGAATGGTTCTCATGATGAAAGTAGTCGGCCCAAGACCTGGTTATCTTTTAACAAAAGTGGAGGAACAATCAACCTGGATTATAACGAGAGTCGAAGCATTTTCAAGGCAACGAGTAACCGGGAGGATAATTCTGAAGCATCTAAAATAAATATGGTCCGGAAATATCCAAGTGAAAATTCAAGACAAGTTAGATCACCTACTAGCAATAAAGAAAAGTGTACAAGGGAGTTAAGGGTATCTCTAATGGACTGCTTTGCGAACTTGTTGCATACAAGGCAAAATTTGAGTCGGGGCTTTTTTCAGACCACAAGTACCCCTAGGGCTATAAGAGTGCCAACCAAATCCCAGGAGGTACCAACATCTCCTATAACTCCTAGGGTACCAACTTTGCATATGACCCCAAGAGTACTAACATCACATACAATCCCGAAGGTACCAACATCAGCTATAACTCCGAGGGTACCAACCTCGCATATTACCGCGAAAGTTCCGAAGTTGCATATAACCCCAAGGATGCCAACGGCTATAACCCCACCCGAAACGGAGGACGAAAGCTCGTTTTTCACGCAGAAAGAGCAGTTTGAAAAAGATAAATTTCGGGGTAGTTCAAAAGAGAACAATGAGAAAGCTACTGAGGGAATTGTATACAAGCCATTGTTTTCAAACAAGCCACGATTGTGGAAATCTGTCGTGGTAGAGAATGATAGTTAAAACTAATCGGGCTATTCCAATTTTAAACCACTCCCCTTCGAAACCTCTCTCTTGGGCTCCGTCAATACAGGATTTCTAAAGAAACTCGGTTTTTACGAATATGTGCGAATTAAAATTGGAATAGGCAAGAAGTATGTAATGTGTTTAATTAAGCGATGTAAAGAGGAGAGACTTTGTTTAGCAATAAAGAAAGGCATATTTTAATATATATGGGGGAGGGGGGGGGGGCATTTGGCTCCCCACTCACACGAAATTGTATTGTCTGAGGTAACAGTTTAAATACAATTTTATGTGGAGTGGGGACTATGTATACGTTTTTTATTGAAATAATTATTTATATATAGATTACAAGTAAAACATTCACTTTATAGTATTCAGAATTATTTAAAATCGCTCCCAAAATGAATATGCCATGAATATTTACTGGAGAGTGGGGGATAATCCCCGGACTCTCCTACATACTAGGCTTCGGTGCTCGGTTAGTGGGCCCTTTTTTCAGTTTTGCCCCTCTCCTAAATCCTTAAAATATGCCTTGACTCTATATAATAGTCCTATAGTTACAGATAACCCTGTATTTTTTAGTTGTATAAATATTCATCATTTCAGAGACTAGGAGTGTGTTTGGAAAAAAAATTGAATATACTCCACTTGTTGTTTCTTGTATTAATCCTTTACTTAATATCAGATGATATTTTCCGAATCAGGTGAAACGATCTCTGGTGGGATTTTTTATGACGCGGAGTACCCGGCTAAGGGCCGCTAAGGTCAGTATATTTCAGGCAGAAATGTCGAGGTCTGCGAGTGAACTTTCTGTTCGTTCTAGGCTTTGGATTACTTGGCTAATTTGGTGTAAAGGTCATATTGAAAGGCTCGTGAACCCAGGTTTCATTAAATAAAGTCATCATATATTGAATAAATATCTATATTATAATTATCACTAACACACTAGTCTGGCTTGAAAAGACCTATATATAGACAGCAAAACTGATTGTTTAAATTTTGTTTTTAGCTTACTGTGGAAATTGTACAAAACGTAACTAATGCTTAAGTTTTATTTATTTATTTATTTATTTATTTAGCTTTGCCAACTAGGGCAGGGTCACCACAACAGCATATGCCAATTACTGTGGGCCCTTTTTACCTAACCCACCCTGTCAACTTTCCCTGTGGGAGGAAACCGGAGTACCCGGGGAAAACCCACGGCTTTCGGCAGAGCGTTGACTTTTACTCTTTTCACATGGGGACTGGGTTCGAGTCGTACTGAGAAGGTAAGTGCGCTAACCACTTGGCAAGGTAAGTGGCGCTAACCACTTGGCCACCGAAGCCCCATCATTTTTACTACTATCAGGGTACATCAACATGGTTGCACATCACACCGTTGCTTCATTTATACTGTGGGTAAGTATTTCTGGTGTAACATTGCCACACCTAACGATAAAGCACAACGTACACAGGAAATGGACATTGAACATGAAAGTTGTTTGGAAAAGACTCCTAGAGGATAACGTTGTTTATTTCTCTAGTATTTGAGTGGTGAGAATTTCGAGAGAAATTGTTGAATATACGTTTCTGGAAAGTACGTCATTTACCGCCATAGAGCCTCGCTTTCGTATATGTGACATTAACCAACGTAATCACGAAAATGAGGCTCTATACTACTATAGCCAAAGTGATATACTTTCCGGAAAGGTTGCATTATTGACCTGTCATAGCTATGGTAATGGCTCGTTGGATGCAGATGTCGTTTAATTACCCTGCATATAGGAGACTATCGTCTAATTTGTGCTCGTCAGCTCAATGCATGTGTGCTCGTATTCTGTATATTTATAGCTAATCATGATTCCTATAAAGCTGATAATTATTAATTTGTCGACAATGTATTTATCTACTTTATATACATTATTTACAAGTCTTTATGGAAGCAGAAGAGATGTTATTTGGACAGATTTTTCAAGTCCGTGTTTGGCTTATACCCGACATTTTCGTCCCAACCTTTGCGACACGTTTTTACGATCCACGCATGCTCATCGTCATCTAGAAATGATAAAAATACAATAAAACGTACCGTAGGGATGCAGGTAATGTTTTACGCAAGCAATTTTCTGCGTAAAAACGAAGAAAGCAGAAGAATGTTAGAACAAATTTTCAGTTTTTGCTGCGATTTCTAGGGCGATTTTCTGATGGATGAGTTCTGAATGTTCAGATGAAGGTAGATATACTCAGGTTAGCACTATTTTCCATGCTGCTAACCATATACTCACAACATTCAGAACTCATCAACTTGTTCACATGTGTCAGAAGAAGAAAATCACATAGAAATTGCAACAAGAATTGCAAGACATTTCAAGCGCAGAAAACTGCAACCACAAAGTCTCGACAACAACTGAGGATTTCTGTTGGACAATCCTACTTCTGTTAGTTCTGAATATATCTTATACCACAGAGTAGATACACACAGAGCTGTAACTTGTTGTCGTGAACACTGCGGAAACTTATGTTTTCATGTACTCACTTTTTTCAGGAGACCGGGCAAAAAATGATCAACTGAGCATGCTCAGCAAGTTCTGCAAGCAGTTAAAGCGAGCCACCATCCAATGGGATGCATGCATCTAGTAACTTGCCGAGCATGTGCACAAAAAAGTGGGTACACTAGTTATAACTCTGTATATGTATCTACTCTCTGCCCATACAGTAGCTACTCGTACCTGCATTTCGTAGGAATTTACTTTGATAATCCATCACAACTCGTGTGGCAGGATTATAAAATCCATCACCACAATCATAACATCCTTCAGGAATCTCACGTGGGGGTACACGGTTAGTGAGCTGGGAACGACCTGAAGTGAACAAAGAGATTCATGACTTGTATATTACCAATAGATCTTTCTTATAATGATGTCAAAGAGAGAAAACCAATAAATTACTATGAGCTATACCTGCTGGTCTGAGACCATTACAAATTTCAGTATAAAATCTTCTGTCATAACCATCACAATATTCCCAATCGTTCGGCTTGTATTCCAGACCATCAGCAAAAGTAAACTGACCCTGGGAATTATAAAAATAAGTATAGTGAAGGCATACTGCAATTTGTCATGTACAAATTGTATTGTGGCAGATGTGATCGAATAAGCACATGTAAAACAGTTGCATTTCAAATTTCACCTTAAGCTAAATGAATAGGGGTGCACCGGATAGTGATTTTTACTATCGCCGGATACCGGATTTGCTGGATATCTGAAAAAAATCCGACCAGATATTTTATGAATTTGAACACTTGACATATAATATATATTTATAAGGATTTTTCTCATCCATGTATTAGTGCAAAAGAAGGTGACACTATTTTATTTGAAGGTGACTCTACAAACTTCCGAACGTTTTTGAGCAAGTGGGATTTGGTACGGCTTTTGGTGCCAAACGCTGCAATAAAACAAGCGACAAAACAACTACAAGATGATTTGCCTCTTACAACTGACAAAATATCTTAGTGACAGCATCACAATTGGCATGGATTTTAGCTCAAAATTGACATGCAGAAATCACTAAATAATATTGTGATTCACCTACATTACCTCAATTGCTATGCCATTCTCCCATGTTCCTTCATACTTGCTACCATTATCAAAGAGCAATGTTCCTGAGCCGTGAAACCTAAAAAATAAACAGAGGTTTTTATTTATATCACTGTCTTGTTTTGGTTATCATTGGTTGGCTCAACTTTATTAAGACTTACATTCCATCCTTCATTTCACCAACGTATTTTGATCCCAAAGCTTCGGGAAGTGTGTACTCACCTTTCCCTTCCATTCTATATCCAAAAAGGAAAATATATCGAGGACCATTTTATTATTTTTATATATTTAGTTTTCCCTGTCGTGTTTTATCTACGACATAAACCAAATTCTCACACAAAAACAAAAATACCTTCCATTATTTAATTCCCCGTTGTACGAACTCCCTGTATACTCCATTTTATATGTTATTAAAACTATAAAATTAATGTGTAAAGTGTAAAAAATATTCAAAGAGTGGCAGCCATGTTGTTTTAGCGTTGTGTTACCATGACGACGACTGTTATGCCACAGAATAGAAAATAAGACCAGAAGCCTCACTCAGCCAAAATTATGTCCGAGATTTTTTATGCGCAGGCGCGAGCCAGCAAGTGTAATCCACGCCATAAAACGCGAGCAATTACGCCATCAATTGCCATTACCAGGTAATAAAGATTGCTGTTTTAACCGTTTTGCTGACGAACGCTGACGTGATGTTCGCAGCAAGTGTCACACACGTCATCTAGCGTGCGAAATTCGTGATCCGCAAGGCGAAAATCGCGGACACGAAAATGTTAAGGAAAGGTGTACAGTGAGACTTCTGGTCGATTATATATTCTATGGTTATGCTCCACTGATCTATATAATAACAGTGGTATGCGTCCCTGGGATTTATAAAGTGTTGCTGCTTGGTGGTCAACAATTTCCTCATTTGTAACTTGTACAAGCAAACATTAAGCATAACTATTAAATGCAAATATTCAAAGAAAAGAATAACCCACGCTTTTGATATATTTTCTGTATTCTCACGTACGTTCAATATCATTGGTCCACGTTAGTATGTACTATACATTACAAATACGTTCTGTTGTATTAAAACCCGCAATTTAACCTATAAGATCTGGTATGAAGTCTCGGGCCCTGCTTCTTTCCTTATAAGGATCGTTGAACCCAGAACCAGTTGGGTCTCCTACTCTTGGCAGCCTGTGTCCTTGTAGTAGTACAAACTACAGTAGCTCGAAGAACGTCTGTGAAGACAGAAGTTGGAATAAAGACAATGTTTATGCAAGTCCAGCTTTCTTTTTGTATTCTTCATCTTGTCTTCGTCTCAACTCTTGTTGCATTTCCAGAAGCTGTTGGCGACTTGGTCCGGCTAAAGTATAAAAGATAATGCAGTGATTAATAAGCCATCAATAGATTTTCTGACTCTGCAGCCTCATGGCACGTCTGAGGCAATTTGGTACAAGAGGCCTATACTATAGGTCTCTTGTACCGAATTGCGGCACTATAGTCGTGACTTCATTTCCAGACCTGGCCCGAGAAGTTTTCACAATGACGTTGCATGGTTCGCCTTGGGTTCGTCACTATTTTCCAATGAATGTCCTGACTCTTGGCTTGGCTAACCATCAACGAAATTTGAGTCCTAGCTTTAGATACCAAAAGCGTACTAGACTACCACTACTAGTGTTTAAAACTTGAAAACCAAAAATATAATACCATATTTGTTCGTGTCCACCCTACGGTGAAGCAGTTCATGTCGTTTCTCATCATCAACAATTGAGAACGATGTTTCTCTTGCTTTCTTCAGCACTTTTAATTCATTCTTCTTTTGTCGCTTCGCTTCCCATTTTTCAAGATCATAGTATCTGAGAGCAGTGTAAGATAAAATTTAACAGGAAAACCTGCAATTGTTTTGCTATCGGATGAGTTGCAATCCCTTGAGATTTATGAGACAAAGACATGGCGACCATGTTGGAGCACCAGAAAAGACGCTTCAAATACAATATTGAACTGTCTTTGCCTGTGTAGGGTAGGAAAATGAACAAGCTTTCGTTGGTAGGGATGCAAGTATCTGAAAATATAAGGAGAATTGACCATTTGCGTAATAGACTAAATTTTGATCTCAAAAAAAATTTCATTACAGCTTGAAAGAGCATCACAAAATTAGTAATATTCCAAAGTTTACAACATTTTGCAACGAAACTTTGGAATATTACTAATTTTGTGATCTTCCTTCAAGCTGTGATGAAATTTTTGTCTAGACTTGTTTAGTTCAAAATTTAGTCTATTACGCAAATGGTCAATTTCGACGTTTCGAGAGAAAGCCCTTCGTTCAAATACAATATCTGTCAATGAGATTCTTTTGTTAAAGTTCCACCAAGTTGGCCGCCATGAGATTGACATCATGTACCCGTTCTTGGACAGTTTAAATGTATTTTTGCTTACCTTTACTTATTATACACCTATTGTCGGAGAAACATGAAGCGCAAGTTTCCAAAAATTAAACTCGAGCGGGTTTTACTTGCATCTACGCGACTCCTTGTTTTGTTTTAGAAATAAGGAAGATTCGTGCCAAATGATAGGCAACATGAACTCAAAAATATTTTGCTTTGTACTTCCGAATCGTTTGACGCTATACATGTGGAAACGCTTTTGTATGAACGCGCACGAGGGGACGCGCATTTTTAAGCACTGAAAAAATTCCATTTTCAAAGTTTTCCCAAACACAGTAAATACAAACGTACTTCTTATGTGGTAAAGTAGCCGTATTATAATCTTCCATGTAATTCTCGAACATTTTTCTTGTTTCAAATTTTGGTAATGTCTCTGAATTGACATTTTTAACCTCTTGAAGCCAACAGTAAAATTCCTGTTGTTTGACAAATATATCGCTCTCTCGAAGTATTCCGTACGCGCCATATTTGTTCTGATCGACCACTCCTTGGTGTTTTGCCTTCTTTTTCAACTTTGATTTCTTCTGAAAAAATGAAAATAAAATAACACCCACACTATTGAGCCGCCAGAATGTGCATGGAATTTTATGCATATCAATTTCTTTAAGGTTGGCCGTTCTTATGTATACTTTATCTTTAATAACCTGCGATCAGGCGTTAGCTTTATAAGAGTAAAGTAATCGTTTAACTCACAATCTTGGATAACTTGCATGCATACTGGTATTATCAACTATTATGCCTACTTCAGATCCTAAAATCCTTTAAGTTGTAGCGACTTAAGGTGATTTCAGAAAATTTGAGGACAAATTGGTGGCAACTTAAAGCAAGTCTCTAAAAGCTTTAGGCCTTTATAGAAGAAGTTTAATATCTTCTATACCTTAAGTTTTTTCTTCTTTTGCTTATGTTTAGATTTTGAATGTTTTTCATCATCAGATGATGAACTGCTCGCACTCCTCTTAATATGTCGTTTCTTCGTCCTCGTATGTTTAGACTTGCAATGTTTATCATCACTATCTGATGATAAACTTCCTGAACTACTCGATCTTTTTTGATGATTTTTCTTTCTTTTCTTTCTCTGTTCAGAATCACTTGAGGAAGTGGATGATGAACTGAAACATCAAAATATATCATAATAAAAGAATTAATTCCTTCTGAGCGCTGCTAATGTATATTCTCCAATACGAGTTGACGTCATCAAATATTCGTTTCGTTTATCTGCAGATCTTTATCAAAGATGGACCTCGAGATTGATGTCTCCATGCTTAAATCAATCTACATCGGAAATTTCACGTTGTTTGGAGGCCTTTGGACATTCCGGCAAAGGCGCGATTTAAAACATTTAAGGCGTTTTAAAAATGTTGTTTTTCCCATAAGGCATAATTAAATTTGACTGGAATTTGCCGCTGCAGTGAAACATAGAACAGAGGTTTGAGCAAGACAACGAAGTACGAAGACGAAGGCATACTTGACAATTTTTGCCGTCTGTACGTTATCTTGCGCATACTGAGTTGGACGTCACTGGTGGTTGCACAACGTGTCTTCCCATGTGTCGCTGTCACTGACCATAATTCTTGCCCTGATCCAGAAAAAAACAGCGAGACATGAAACTATATCCCGTCATTGTCCTTCTGCCTTCGTGCAGAACGAAGTTCACAACGAATTTTGCCAAAATATTCGTTGTGAACGAAGGCAGAAGACGAAGACGGGATATGGATTCATGTCTCGCTGTTTTATCCTGATCAGGGTAAGGATTTGGGTCAGCATTCACAAACAGCTAGACATGAATCTCTAACCTGTCTTCACTCCTGACCCTAAACTCAGAATGCACAAAGTAATGTGCAAGACAGGCAAAAATTGTCAACCACGTCGTCGTCGTTCGACTTCGTTGTCTTGCTCAAACTCTCTAACGTGAAATTTTCGGCATAGACTAAGTTGAGCATGAATATTTTAATTCTCGTCTGGGGTCCATAAAGATGAAAAACTCTATAAACGCAATTATAAAACTCGGATCGTAGAACTGTAGAAGTAGTTGAACGTCACTGATCTACTCTCTGTCTCTCTCTCCACAATGGGTCAATGGTCAATGCCTTATGGCTTATACAATTATTATACAGATTACCTATCTGTATCAGATTCACTCTGTGACCTCTTTCGTGATTTCCTTTTTTCCGTTTTTCGCTTTGATTTCTGCAAAAGGCATACAATATATACAACTGGGCAGTTTCTCGTCGTTGAACCGCATCATTAAACACACATTGATGATACAAAAAATCATTATATAAAGCTATAGTTATAACCAAAAGCCAGCCAAATACCTTCCTATGCTCATCCTCTGCCGTACTTCTTGATCGTTCGCGATTTCTGTCCAAACTAACTTCATTTGTAACTTTTTCTCGCCTTTTCTCGTGATTTTTGTCCGCCATATTGGATTTCGTGTTCTTGGTGGACTGGGTTCGATAAAGTGGTTAAACAATATGGCGGAAAAGAATGTATATTTTTGTGTATAGAAATATTTTATTTTTTTAAATTTTTCATGGCAACATCTACGAAATCAACTTCTGAGAAGAAATTATGGATTGGTAACTTAGATAAAAGGCTTACTGAGTATGCGCTAGAAACGTTTATATTGAATTTAAAAGATAATATATTAATATAAATAATTTATTTTTAATAATAATAGAATATGTGGAATATTTACCCTGGCAGTCTGCCATAGTCTTAGTCCAGAAACTATAAAACGAAGGAAAATAGAGGGTTGCTTGCAGTCTACAAAATTACTGGAATACA